GTTTTTTATCTATTTTCTGGCGGGAGCGCTTATAGTCCTTCATGCTTTGATACTAATCAAATACCGTGTCTCACTCAGACGTGATAATTTTTCTAACGAGCGCAGTGATTCTCAGTTGTGTGTCACATAAACACGTTAAATGAACATTTTATGGTATTTTCATTGATATAACTTCTTTTATATTTAATTAAAATATGTTGTGGAAGAAATATTATATTCTTTGAGTTATTTGTTAATGAGGCAAGTCTATGTTCAGTAGTGGACTTGTGATAGAATGTAAAGAATGAATGAAAAATCATTGCTGGCAATACAGTCATAATGGTTCATAAACACTTGGTTAGGAAACGAGGTCTTAAGCACCACTATCAAATACGTATGAACTAAGGAAGCATAAGTTAAACTCAATTGTTAAAATAGGTTCTTTGAGCTGTATGGCCGGTCCATTGTGACTACCACTTGTAATTGCCAGGTCGGAAAACCAAAATGTCTGTACAAAATTTGAAAATGTCGAGATTTTGGGGTTGCTGTCGGGATAAATAAGTATTTAAAATAAAAATGTAAAATAAAAGATTATTTTTTGAATTGATAGGCTACAAAGAAAATTATCATTGTAGTTAAAGTTAAAAATTACAGCCTATATACGTCCCACTCCTGTGCACAGGCCTCCGCTCATGTCTGAGTGTTTTAGGGTAAGGAATTGTCCGTCGCGCTGCCCCAATGCGTTTTGGCGATCTTCACGTCTTCGAAATATTTTTTTTCTTATTTCTCAGATATACAGGTTTCCTCACGATATTTTCCTTCACCGTGGAGCACGTGGTAAATCAGCAATTAAAATTGCAATTAACAATTTCATTGGTGCCGGCGGGGATCGATCCCGGTTTGCTCGCGTACTGTGTGAAATTTACAGAGAGCGCTAACCATCTGAGCTATCACGGATTGTCACTAACATTGTTGACACATAACGAATTTAAGTACCCTTAATTTTTAGGTTGCCAGGTTGCCACATGTATTTGATATTGGACTTTACCGACTCCACCAAATTGGATCGTTTAGTAGGTAATATTCAGAAATAATTAAAAATTCAAACAATTTACTTTAAAGTTTAGTCTAGTTACTAACTCAGCTTTTATTAAATCACAGGCAGCTGTAATATGCTGTTTGTCTGGAGATTTTGAGTTTTGTCGGGAGTCTGGAGATTATTTAAAATGTCGGGAAAATCTAGATGGTTCCCGACCATCTGGCAACCCTACTACTACTACACCTAATAGCCGATTTACACTTCGACAAGTACAGTAGTGAGCTTAGTTACAGGGCAGTTGACAGTAGACGGTTAAGTGGAAAGTAACGTTTAAATGTATTCGTGGCGAGTTTAGTTAAAAAAAAGTAATTTTATAGTATGAGGGTCGAAACGCGAACACGTTGCGTCCCGTCAACTTATGCACTAACTAAACTCGCTCGTTCACACGAGCGGCGAGTTTCGTTGCAGATGGCGAAAGACGCGCGCGTGGGTTACATGTCGTACTTCGAACTTAACTCGCCGAAAAATAGACCGGCCGGCTATCCCGTTCACTGTAATTGTTAACTTGCTACTTAACTCCAGTTTCCAGGAAAAAGGGTATCCGGTTCCTTACTCTCACCATACTAAACACAGTAGCATTAAGCTGCTATTTTACGCTGGTATTCTGTGAGAGCGTGGTCCTTCCCAGCGTGACTCCTACTACGTTTAAACGCGGTTTCCCTTCCCTACAATGAGTCATACCCATGTCCAGCCGTGGATTGTTTGGTATGACGGAGAAAAAGTATTTCTATTAAATAACAATGTTGTTAAAATTGCTTGGACTGATTTAATTATACTGTGCATTCTTGCCTCTGTTATCTTTATTGAAACCCAAACATCAAACTTTTAAGACAAACGTCTTTGATATAGATTCCATTCATTTATAATTCAATCTAAGGCATTCAATCTAATTTACCATTCCACAATTCAATGTCTTAATTATATAACGCAAAGCCACTATTGTTATCTTTAAATTTTATAACCATACTTAATGTAAAACATGCGTGAACTCATCTACCAGTTTCAAATAAATCTAACATATTAAACTGATTGGAAGCCATTTTAACGCAGTGGCTATGTGGTCCCGTAAATCCTATCATAACACGTCTGTAATTTTAATAAAATCAGTACGTTATATTGGAGAACGTAACAGCTACGCAGCACAGTGGGCTACGGACCGCGGGTTCAAATCCTGCTCGTAACAACTATTTTTGCGCCCATTACAAGGAATGATTCCAAATTAAACGCCTCCACGATACAGAAGAAATTTCTAGAGATACGTATTATAAAATTTATAATGTGCTAGCGGCGTTAACAGAATATACATCGTGAGAAGGCCTGCATGTTAAAGAAATGAAATATCTTGAAGACATGTTGAGTCGATGGGGAAAAAAAAGGTTTTCGAGTGGTAGCCTCGTACCGGTAGACAAAGTGTAGGTCGAACCACTAGACGAAGTGCTGAGAGATGCAGGAAGTCGATGGATGCAGATAGTTCAGGACCGTGCTTTGTGACATTCTTTGGGGGAAGCCTATGTTCAGCAGTGGACTTGTGAAGAGCTGTAATGATGATGCTGATGATGTAGAGTCCCCCAACAATAGCGCAACACGGTGCTGCGGTCTAATTCCTCCATAAGCCTCTCAGAAATGAGGGGGGACTCGTGTCTAGCTATGGGACATATGTGGTGTTATTTAGGCTTATAACCTTACTTTAGTTAATAGTTACATCCAAAATGCGATATGTAGTATCGCTGGCGGCGTAAGTGGATCCATTACCCCGTATCATAGGGTTGCCAACTTTTTTGACAAAAAAAACGTATAAAGTGGTTTGGATAGGAAAAAAATAAAGTATTAGGAAGAAAAAAAGTATTTTTCAAATTTTATGTTTTTATTGCTTTAAACACGTATTTTGTGTGCTTTTAGCACATGCTAACAATTGTTTGTTGTCTTTGTGTTAAAATGTTACAAAGCTTGTTTGACAATCAACGTTTAAATTTAAATAAATTATTTTAGATTTTTTAGGAGTCACTGGTGTGTCGCTATCAGAATTACTCGTCATTTTCAGCATTAATATTTACTTTAAAATGCATTCTTCGCTTATAAACAAAACTAAGGGACCAGTTTTGTACAATTTCGTCGATAGTGAGAGACATCTGTGACAAACGTCACAACTGACATCTGACATCTAATAGGCCTTTCCGATTCACGCCAACAGCGCTGTCAGCGCCAATAATCCGTTCCGAATCAACCGTAAGCGCGCTGATGACAACGCTAACGCTGCCCATGGTCGCGAGCGTAATCACTGTTGGCGCTATTGGCGTGAATCGGAAAGATAGGTAACATTTCGTTCAGCAATTATAAATCGTTAAGTGTACCCATGATGAGTATGTTTTACGCATCACAGTAAAGGTTGAAAATAAAGTATTTTTGCATTTTATACGTGGTAGAGCCATGCTGCAGTTATGTTAGTAGTATAGTTGTAGCACGAATGGGTCGGCTCGACCGGGGAAGGACCACGCTCTCACAGAATACCAGCGTGAAATAGTAGCTTAATGCTGCTGTATTTCGTATGGTGAGTGTAGAGAACCGGAGACCCTTTTTACTGAAAATGAGGCATTCCATCTCAGTCCTCACGGGTGACAACGCATCTGCATTTTGATTTGTAATGGAAGATAGATGTAGATGTCTATGGGCCGCAGCAACCACTTACCATCAGGTGGACTGTGTGCTCGTTTGTCAGCCTATTCTATAAAAAAAATACTTTATTTGTATGTAAAAGTATAAAGTATAATTACCAAAAATAAAGTAGGATACGTTATTATAAAGTATGGTTGGCAAGCCTACCGTATCATCCCGTGCGTGTTGTTAGAGACGACGGAGGGAAACTGAAACAGAAGCAGCAGCAGCATTTTCCTGATAAGAAAGCAATAATTATAATAAATGATAAAACCCTCACAGTAATGATGCGACTGTGCCCAGCAGTGGGACGTATATATAGGCTGTAACTTTAACTTTAATGATAATAAAACAGCAGTTGTCAACACGCATGCAAAGCGTGGCAACTGTGACAAATATGCAACTTCTTATTCCTTCCTCTCTGTGGTACTTCAGGGTATGGAACTTTTTATTCCTTCTTCTGTGGTGCCCATCGGAGGCACATCTCAGTCATGCTTTAGTCGCTTCTATAAAATAGCATTATGCTATAAGCAGGAGTGCTACCGGGCCTGGGCTGATACATCAACGTCCCAGGATGTAAACACCAGCGCCCTAAAAAATAAGTATAATTCCGCCTCCAGGTCCTTCAAAAGACCCCATTGATTGATTTTCGCATTAGTTCAGTAGTGCGTGGACTTCTGACTGGCTGTAATAAATGAATTAAACACTGAACTTTAGTTTAGCTTAAATAATGGGTATTGACAATGATGTCCTTCTGGTACATTTCGATCATGGCGACAACTTCCAGACATTTTCGTCTTCATTAGAGGCTGGAATGTAAAAAAATCTTATATATTTCATTTGAATTAATCATTTTATTTTTTTTTTCAGATTATTTTCCCTTCCGCAAAAGTGGTTCGAGAAACTATAATGCAGCGGCAGTAAGCTGCCACACAGGTAAAATAAATTATGATGTTTATATATTTCATCATAACGTGCTACTAATTTAATATAAAAATTGAGATCCCTAGACTTGATTCAAGTATAAAAGATAAATATAGGTATTTTTATGTGTACAAATACAAGTTACATCACATTTAAATTTAATAATATGCATATTTTCCCGCCGTGCGTGTATCTTGTGTTTAAATTTTCTCCGTCTCCTGACATCTAGTGCCGCATTCTGACATTATGCAAATTACACTGCCTGCTTCAAGTTGACTTCTCTTTTAAGTGCTAGATGGCGGTAGTTTAGGTTTTAATTTTACTGTCATGTATTAATCCATCAAGAATGACAAGTGTCAAACTCGTGTCGCTGTTGTATACAAAACCAAACCGAGCCAAGCTAATATATTATTTATTTCCGAGAAACTTTTCGTTTTATGCTCTCGCCTCTTTTTCGAAAGAGTCTCGTTTTGCTGCTGTAAGTAATTCTATCAATTTCTGTGTGGTGTTTCACTCATTAATGTTCCAAAAATACGTTTCTTCGGGTTTCCGAGTAAGGGATCTATGTTTACAACTACGAGATGTACCTGGAACGCTAATTTCACAAAATTTCTAGAGGCGTCATATGAAATAACAATTGCTTGTTATTTTTTACACCTAATCTTTATTGAGAGGTAGCTTTTACAACTATTAGTCTTTGTTTACAACCTGTTTCCCGTCATTATATCCCTAGAATAATTTGCGTTGGGTTGGCTGGCTTTGGTTTTGTACATGCCATACTAAAATGCACCATTCTTGTAACTTTAGGTGAGTTGTAATTTCTTTTATCTCAAAATTTATTCAAAACTTTTTTTAATATAAGTACATTATTTAAAAGTTTTACTGTTCGGATACTTAATTATTTATTAAAATAGTGTTATGATATTCTACAATACATGTCAGTGCTATGAAATTCTACAATTATTTAATTTTATTAATCTTACTTGAACTAACGGCACCATAATAGACAACATATCTCTTTCTTATTGATTTTATGCTTATTATAAACCCTATCACAAACACATCTATCTCACAATGTATGAGGGCACAAGCTGCGTTCGATCCAAACCCATTGTATTACTCATTCAGCATCCGACTCCGGATCCTTCACTCGGATCACTGGCAGTGCTTTGCGCAGTCGTTCTTTCTCAGTTTTACTTTAAATGCTTAAAAATATTAATAACCCGTGTTATTATACCATACAATAATTTTTAAAGTGTAGTTCCTTTAAAGTATTGTTCGCCTTAATACAATGAATATGGTAAGGCCTTTATTATTTTTTGCCCATTTTTATAAATGGTTTATTGAACTGTGAAGTTATGATTTGATTTGTTATGACATGCTCTTATTATGAGCTGTCCCTTTTTTTGTGTAATATTATATGGATATTTAGTGAAAGGAATTTCAAGTTTTTGTTTGATGAATAAATCTCAATGTTTTGTTATGTTCATAAGCTGATATGGAATATGATATCTACTCTTTAATAATGTTAATTCATTTGGATATGGGTTGTGAAAAGTTTTTTTATAGTTATTGCAAATATGGTGTTTTATACGGACGCCGATCGATAGCGGAGACTCTTGACTTTGGACCGCTGCCTCATTTTTCTTGCTATCCCTTTTCAACTTGTGTAAATCAAATGTGAGGCCTGTCTGTCGCCCTATATGTTTGCATATTGATTTTTTAGAAGCTTTGTGTGTTTTTCGCTTTTTGATTGGTAATATTTCAAAAATTTAAAGCAAATGAACATTGTTATAAATAAAAAATTAGAACAATCAAAATGTATCCATTATTTTCTTTAATATATATAATTTGTCAGATAATTTGTGTATTTCATTAGTTTTATATTTTTATACTAGGTTCATATAGCTTAGTACTTGATATAATTTAGTATAGCAATATGTTGTACTCTTCCCTATAAGGCGATGTTACTACTAAGTGCATATGTGAAACCGTGCAGTAATTATGATATTGTCAGTTATTTCATATATATATATATGTATAGTAAGATAAGAAACAGGTATATTTTGCAGATATAGACTACATCATACCATATAAAATATATCAAGATTTTTACAGTACAATTAATTTTTAAGTACAATTAATGGATACTGTTTTAATTAAGTTTGAATTGATGTTTTTATGTTATTTATTGTATTTATATTTTGTCTAACAGTTGGTGTCTCGCCATGCAGCGCGCGGGTGGGAGCAGGGCCTGTGCGCCATGAGCCACACTCCTATAGGCGGCCACCCGCAAGGTATTTTTTTTAAGTTATCTTTGACGCTTTTTTCGATCTATTAGAAAAACGAAGATTAATTGTATGTTATTTTTTATAAAATAAGGGTGTCAAACGAGAACGCAGTCCACCTGATGGTAAATGGATGATGTGTGCCCATAGATAATTACATCCTCAATGAAGAATCAAAATGCAAATGCAGATGGAATACCACGTTTTCAGTAAAAAGGGTCTCCGGTTCTCTACACTCAACATACGAAACACAGCAACTTTAACAGGATATCTCGAAAATGAATCGTAGTTTTGGGCGTGCGTGGCTTATCATTTCGTCGGTGAAACTCACAGACGACTGAGTGAGTTCAACAATTTCATAATACGCAAATTATGAGATAGATATATTTTCAAAAAAATTTCGAGGTATCACCTTAAGCTGCTATCTTACGCTCGTATTCTGTGTAGGGATGCAACGATATATCGGAAAACAGGTAAATATCGATATATCGACACCTAAATATATCGATAGTTATCCATATCGATGATATACCGATATCGATAATTCAATATCGACAAAAACCCGATGTATCGAACAGGATATATCGAAAAAAAAATATTGAAAACCAGCACAAATTAAAATATTCACAAAATCAGGTAAAATGCCTATTACTTACAATGACTTTATTATGAGTCATCTACCGATTGTAGCAACAAGTGTTCCATCAGAACGTCTTATTTCGAAGGCAGGAGCTACTATAACCCAGAGCCAAAACCGGCTACATGGAAGCAGACTTTCTAAGTTATTATTTTTAAATTCGATAGCTGGTACAAAATACTGGAATTTTTTTAAATTATATATTAAAATAATAAATTTTAAAAAGAAAAATATCGATGAAATATCGATATATCGGCGTACTTGACCGATATATCGCTATATAAATATCAACTTGATTCAATATAATATATTATATCGTTATCGATATATCGATATTTTTAAAAACTGCATCGCTAATTCTGTGAGAGCGTAGTCCTACTCCGGTCGAGCCAACCAATTCGTGCTACAACTAACATAGCTACAGCATGGCTTTACCACGTGTTAGCTTACGTAGCGGCCTATGTATACTAACTATATGCACTTGCAGACTTGTGTTGTTGCGACAAAAACCGATGGTGATGATGAATATCGTGATATTGAACTAGAAACATTTGTATTTTACACAAGTCCAGCGGGAATACGACCTAGGAACCCGAGGCATAGTAACCACGTACTTTGCACTCTGGCCATTAGGTTACGACTTATGGGGACGTTAATATAATCCTTTATATTTATTATCCTATAAAAAAGTTGAAACGTATACTGATCGCGTTTTACATGGACAATGGATTTATATTTGTTGCTATACAAAATGCATCGGTTTTTCTTTTGTTGATATACAATGGTGGAAACCTAAAGCTCAACATCAAAATTAGAAAACTGGAAGTGTAAAATTAAAAATTAAAAATAGCTCTACAGTAGGCGCAAATGATGTGTAACATCTGACGTCTTTACCTTGGTAATGAACAACATAAATATTATATGCTGAAAAAACCTATTATTTTTCTTTTTTTATAAAATATAATAATATTAATTGAGCGATAGAAATTAACCTTAATTTTTTTAAAAATAATTATTTATTACTCACTTGCATTTTTATCAATGATCTGCCTTTTTCTGACACTTATTATCAACAGTAAATACATTTATTAACATAGTTTACACATATAAATTAGTTTATATAACCGCACTTTATTACCACCTCGCCCTCCTTGTTGGTCAAATCCAATAGCGCGCGCTTACCCGGCTTGCTATTACACACTTTCGTCTCTTCACGAAATCACTCCCACAGATTGCGGAAAAAAATTAAGCTTCTAAGTAAACGCAATGAAAAGATACGGCCATTTACGTCACTTATTTTGATCGTCGCAAACTCGCCCAGAATCTACGTACATAATTAAGTTTTACGAAACTCTCAGGACTTGACAGGACAGGCTTACTCGCACTTCCCTGGGTATATCTTTTAATATCTCATCTCTCTCATACTTTACGCGCGCAAAATACTGATAAATCTAAATGTCTTTTTGTTCTATATCTTCGAATACTGCTTAAAAATCATAAATTTTAATAAATTTTTGTCAGGTTGGGAGCACAAACTTGCAGACAGGTCGTCGCTGCCACCAGCTTCAGGGGAGGAGAAGAGCAAATCTCAGTCCAAACATGTGTTCACACACCCACACCTGTCTAAGTGAGTGCTCGTTACGCTATTTGTCTTCTCTTAGACATTTTTAATTTAAGTTGCTATAGTATTTAAAATCGTGCGAATAATCAAAAAAAAAATAGTACATGGTGGTGATTGGAATTTTCAAAAAAAAAATTATATTGTGTAAGATTTATCCATGTTATGCATTATTATACATTCGTTCTTATTAGTGACTTCGAAAATCGTTTTGTACTCGGTGTGCAAATAAAGCATAAATAAATAAATGGTCACAACCATTCGACGGGACGCACAAGATTTTCCTGCCAATGCCAGATGATTCCATCTATATTCTCTCACGGAGATGCAAGATGTTTACTATAATTGAAACTTAAAAAAGTATAGGTAATAGTTCTCCACAACGACATTCGGAGCTCTTATTTTGTGTATGACTTACATAAAAGAAGATATTTGGCCGCACTGCACCGCGACTTGAAGGATTTCACCAAGTCCTTGAAATATTTTTAAACTTCTCAGACGTGTTTTCCCCATAATGTTTCCTTTCACCACATTGACATTACGTGTAGAGTGTTTTTGAGCTGCAAGAAGGCTGACCGTCCGAAGTATATCTACGACGATACATTTTGCACTACTTCCGAAAACATTCCAGTCTGCTGGCGATAAGATCGGGTATTTTCCTAGCCTACTGTTAAAGTGACCTGGGCTATGTGGTGATGTGTGGTGTGATGTGGCAGGATGGGAGCGGCGGCGTGGCGCGAGGAGACGGAGGGCTCGTCGGGGTCCTCGCCGCGCTCGCCCACCTCGCCGCCCTACATGCGCTGGGCGCGCAGTCTGCACGAACTGCTCGAGGTATATCACATATCTCATATCACTCACAACGCAAGTTTATCATAGCAATTTCTTACAGTCATTCATTGGCATTATTAGGGCAATGAATGATATCACATCTCAATTACAACAGAGTCCCAGAAAATGTACAAGGTCTCGTAATTACTAAGGTTGTTGTTTTTAAACAAAAACTGTACAAAAAGGGTTATATAATATTACCGTGTAGTGATCGTGGAAGAATATCCTATTATCGCCATATCGTTCATTGTGTGTCGTAAGAGGCGATATAGGGAAATTGAAACAGGAGATGGGCACCAGCATATTTCTAAATACAATTCAAAAAAATAAAAACTGCGGTTGCCAAGCCGCCTTGCAAGCGTGGCAAATACTGAACAATACCCCTGTGAGGCAACCTATAGGGGAGGCCTATGTCCAGCAGTAGACTTTTGTATAATGTGAAAATAACCCCTGGGAAGAAGTTTTGTAAGTAGTTTGTGCAGCCTGTGGGTTTTATGATATAACTAGCGATTCGCCCCGGCCTCGCACGGGTGATTTTTGGATCTCGACAACAGCGCCATCTTCCGGGTCAAAATGTGAATCTAAATTATCTAGGGACCCATTCAAACATAAAAAAAAAAACTTCTAAATCGGTTTAACCGTTTATGAGTTTTAGCAAGACTAACGGACAGTAACTGTTTTTTATATATAGTATACTAAAAAAAAAGTAGGTACCACTTAGTTTCCTGGTGGTTCTTCGGGGTACAGAGGTTTTTTTCGAACTATTCGTAAAAGTAAAAAAAGACTCGAAAAAAATTACTTGTAATTTGTATTGAGTAAATAAAATTATTCTATTCTATTCTCACTCAATAAGTCCATAATTCTATCACCCACTCGATCACCTTACGGCACACTATCTCACCAGCATCACTAGCGATTGCACGTTTTACTACTATAATTTGGATTTTATTTACTGTTACTTATCGCTACGTACAATCAATAAATGTTTATTTTCGAAATGGATCCGGATTACTAAGTAAATATCTCGTGGCTTATATGTAAGTATAAACAGCTTTATACCTTAAAAAGGTTTAAAACACTACTATAGATATAATTAATGACGTAACTTCATCTAGAAAAAAGTGGCAGTCTATATCAAAGGGTAATAATAGCAAATGAAATGTTTTATTTCATTGTTATAATATAATATGAGTTCTCAAACGCAACCACCATTTATGATGTTATAAAACTAGCTTGCCCGCAACTTCACCCGTGTGTAATTTAGGGTTTAATTTTTTTGCGCGAAACCCTAATTCTTTTTCCGAAATAAAACTAGCCAAAGTTACTCCTTATAATATCAGCTACCTGCCAGTGAAATTTCCGTCAAAATTAGTGCAACCATTTTGGAGATTATGCGGAACGAACAGGCAGACAGACGAACTAACAAATTTTTTTAAAATTGTATTTTTGTTATGAGTACCGTATATAGTTTCATGTGCATTTAGTAAAAAGTTTTATTTTGACATTACAAACAGACACTTCATTGTTATTTATTTGTATATATTATCATTTTGTAATGATAATGTTCAACATCCCATTTCAATTTAGCAACTACCAACTATTACCATAGTAAAAACAGAATAGTAGGCTTTATTCTAAGAAATGTAACGAACGCCGATAATATGTTGTGTGCAGTACGGACTCGTGCGCACGAGCCACAGCACGCACACAACGACACTTGCTAAGTCGGGAAGATCGCTCCGGGTAGGGACGGCCACCGCCGCGCTCCGCAATCACCTGTGTTTGGGACTTTGTTGACTTTTAATAAAATTTTGCTAGCAGTCTTTTTTTTTGTTTTATTTTCTCTTTTTGTAAAATAAATTAATGTATGCGTTTCTTGAAGTAAATTAGGTTATATTACTATATCTATAAATACATACATTAGAAGTACATTAATTATCATACAGGGTGGGGCAGCATAACTTCCTTTTTTTAAAACCTAATAAAACACATTGTATGAATCGGAAAAATTTTATTTGGTTTTTACATTGTAAGTACATACTTAAAGTTTTGTTTTATTTAGTTTTGAAGATCAAATCAGGTAGATGACGTCCCTTATTCTCTATACATTGAGTATACCGATTTCTGGTGTTTGTCATAACTCTTTGAAGCAGAGCAGGCGTTATGTTGGCAATTTCTTCCTGGATGTTGTTCTTTAAATCTTGTAGGGTCCTTGGACGGTTCACATAAACACGGGATTTCAAAAAACCCCATAGAAAAAAGTCACAAGGGGACAAATCGGGAGATCGGGCCGGCCACTGCAAATCGCCCCTGATTGAGATAAGGCGTTCTGGGAAGTGTTCTCTCAAAACAGCCATCGATGCTCTTGCAGTGTGTGCCGTTGCACCGTCTTGTTGGAACCAAATGTCTCCCAAGTCCAACGCATTCAGCCGGGGTAAAAAGAATTCCTGTAACATGTTTACATACCGGCCCGAATTCACTGTTACTGTGACTTCATTTTCCTCAAAGAACCAGGGACCACTAATTGCAGCTGAGGAAATTGCACACCACACTGTGACCTTAGGTGAATGCAAAGGCCTTTCATGCAATTCTCGAGGATTGGTGTCAGCCCAGTAGCGCATGTTTTGTTTGTTCACGGATCCACACAAGTGAAAATGTGCTTCATCACTAAAAAAAACAATAGCGTCCTCAGGAACGACATCCAGAAGAATCTCACATGCGTTCCTGCGAGAATCGTAGTCACGTTTTGACAGTTCCTGTACAGTCGCCATCTTGTATGGATGGAAATGTAAGTCTTCATGGAGAATTCTCCGCACAGAACGACTGGAAAGTCCAAGGGCAGATGCATGTTTGCGCGCAGAACGCCGTGGTGATCGCAACATTGAAGCTCTGACTGCCTCAATGTTCTCAGGTGATCTAATGGGCCGAGGGACTCCAGTTCTTCGTTTTGTCACACTTGCAGTTTGTCTAAACGTAGTGACCCACATAACAATTGATTTTCGGTCTGGAACAGGGGCCAACGGGGCTAAATTAAAGCGATTTCGAAAGGCGCGCTGAGTTGCAATCACAGAACATCCGCGCGAAAAGTAAGCCTCAACAGCAAACGCACGCTCCTCACTGTTCCAACGCATTATGGCGACTGAGCTGTCTCGACTAAACTTTATAGCCCCCCCCTCTCGAACGAGACCACTAGCGCTCCACTACGATGTCACCTGACCGAATGGCGCGCATTACAAATAAGGAAGTTATGCTGCCCCACCCTGTATCATATCACATTGGATCGAATTAATTTTAATCATTAAATCTGAGCTGACACCATATGCTTAGTGTTAATTTACTCGTATTTTATAGTCCACCAAATCTAAGAAATACCTTTTGACGTTTCACATTAATCATTCCGCACTAACTTTGCACAAGCGTACTCACACGATTTAAAATAACCTTTTACGTAAATTCGAAGAATTATGAAGTTGTCTATATTTCATTACAACGTGTATAGTTTTTTTTGTCACTAATTTAAATTTGAATTTTTCAAACAAAGCAAAATATTAAAAAATAACCAGTATTAACTTTTTTTTTACTTGACGTCGTTTCAATGACATGTCGCTATGTATATTACTGTAGTGATTGGATGATTAAAATTCACTGTTATGCGAATAATCTGCAAAATAATTAAATAATCGGTAAAATATTCTAATAATCGAATCATTAATTTCTTAAATGTATTGGTTTCTTAATCGAATCATTAATTTCTTAAATGTATTTGTTTAATTAAATTTTTATTTTCAAAATTCCTTAAATTACATGAATCATTAATAAAACAAGTTTAATTTTTCACTTTGTCAAAGTAAATTTTTATATAATAAGTATTATTCATAATCTATATTGAATAAAAAAGTTTCTGTTTCGAGAACTTACTGTGCGTAATTTTGTAATTGTATTCTTATTTTGTGACTCGGCTTTAACTTTTTGGACTGTTTCATCTGTAATAACTTTTTGTACGCGGTAATGCCACGTTACATCTATATTATAGTTGTACCACGAATGTGTAGGCTCAACCAGGGCAGGACCACGCTCTCACAGAACACCAGCGTAATTTTTTTTTATAGGATAGGGTGAAATACGAGCACACAGCAGCAAATTGCAGTGGTGTGTTTTATATGGTGAGTGTAGAGCACCAGAGACCCTTTTTACTGGAATCGAGGCATTCCATCTTAGTCCTCAGGGGTGACAACGCATTTGTCTTTTAATTCTTAATTGAGAATAAATGTGTATGTCTATGGGCCACAGCATCCACTTACCATCAGGTGGACTGTGTTTTCGTTCGTTTGTCACCCAATGCTATAAAAAAATTCGTTGAAGCATGTGCGTATGTCACAAAGGATGATTGGGCAAAAGTGGTAGAAAAAAACAAAAAATGATTATGGATGACTTTGAAAGAGACATTAATTTTGACTGCATTATTGAAAATCAAATAATAATATAAACAACGACATCCCTATTAGTTGTACTAAAAGTGATTGAATAAATTTATTTTTAATCTAGTTTCAATATTAAATTTTTATAACTGTGCCTCTAGAAATAATAAATACGAAGAAACTGATAAATCTCGTGTTATAAATTATCCGTTTTTTAATTTATTCTGGTATTATTCAAACCAAACTGTAAATGATTACCAACTCTAAATAATCGATATCGATTTTTTTAAGAATCGAATATTGTATGTTCCCATTTTTTGGTTGGCATGCTTGGTGCAATAAGTCTGACAGCTGTCAAAATGTATTTCTTAGATTTGGTTAACTTATAGTTATTTGATATTTATTGTAATGTAAAGCTGGATTTTTTTTTTTGATAAACATTGATTCTTTGAGAGGAAACTAAAGAAATGACTAACAAATATGATGCATAGGTACGTATCCGTATGTATTATGTTTGTAAATATTATAACTACTTATAAAACTAAATGAGGCTTAGTTTTTAAACAAAAAGACAGCGACAACCCTGCAACAGTAGGCATTTAAGGCTCGCGCGGAATTCTGTTTTTACTATGTTTTTTTTTTTTTAAATAAAACGTTATATCCACACTAGGACTTTCTCGTGTATCGTAGAGGCAGTTTACAAAGCTATTATGCTATTACTGAAAGACCGGACGTACCGTCCAGTGCGAAAGTTAGTATCAGAGGTAGAGTAGTAAGAGTGTTTGTAGTTAGAATATAAAAGTTTCCACGAAAGTCATGCGAATTTGTTAGTTTGTATATCGAGTCAATTTAATTAAAACATGTTTACAAACCAAGTTTCTTCCCGAGCGAGACGCAATCGAATTCTCTGGGTTTCAATGCTTTTTAGTTCGAAAGTTGATAAATAAATATTTTTGTATATTATACGTTTTTAGAAAAATAATTATTTTTGTTTAATCTTGCTCACATATTCTATTCTTCTCTCCGGTGTTCAACTGGTTTAGATTAGATTTTCAATTGGTGTTAGATTTTTAACACTGAAATCGTGGGCGTTTCTAAGCTTTTACTAGATTTTAATAGCCATTAGCTGACACAAGGAAAAACATTAGGGACAGGATTATGAAAGAAATGGATGGAATATTATTCATAGTTCGGTTGAAATGGGATAATATATGTAACTGAAGGGAGCTGTTTCTGAGCTGGATTAAACTAAGTTTGTATAAAAAGGGTTATTTTAATATTAAGGAATTTATAGATGATAATAACCCCTGGGAAGGGTGATCGCTACCATCATCATCATCATCATCATTACAGCCCTTCACAAGTCCACTGCTGAACATAGGCCTCCCCCAAGTAATGCCACAAAGCACGGTCCTGAGCCACCTGCATCCATCGACTTCCTGCATGTCTTACCAGGTCGTCACTCCATCTAGTGGGGGGTCGCCCTACACTACGCCTACCGGTACGAGGCTGCCACTCGAGAACCTTTCTTCCCCATCGGTTATCGGTTCTTCGAGCTATATGGCCGGCCCATTGCCACTTCAGCTTACTAATCCGTTGGGCTATGTCGGTCACTCTGGTTTTACTGCGGATATCCTCATTTCTGAGTCTATCACGCAGAGAAACTCCGAGCATAGCCCTCTCCATAGCTCGCTGAGCGACCTTAAGCGTCCTCATACGGCCAGCAGTGAAGGACCACGTCTCAGATCCGTAAGTCATCACTGGCAACACGCACTGGTTGTACAATCTAGTTTTTAGAGATTGAGGTATACCTGACGAAAAGATATGCCGTAATTTCCCGAACGCTGCCCAGCCGAGTTGAATCCGTCGATTGACCTCTCGGTCGAAGTTGGACTTACCTAGTCGGACTATTTGTCCCAGGTAAACGTATTCGTCAACAACTTCGAGCATAGTGCTCCCAACAACTACCGGCATAGGTGTGACATGGACATTGAACATGATCTTTGTTTTGTCCATGTTCATCTTAAGACCTATCCGTTGGGAGGCACTATTGAGGTCATTGAGCATAGTGCTTAAGTCCTCCAGCGATTCTGCCATAAGGACTATATCGTCGGCAAATCGAAGGTGAGTGATGTACTCGCCATTGATGTCAATACCGTATCCTTTCCAGTCCAGTAGCTTGAAAACGTCTTCCAATGCAGCGGTGAAGAGTTTCGGGGATATAACGTCACCCTGTCTTACACCTCTCTGCAGTTGGATAGGTTTCGAGCTCTGGTTCTGTACTCGGATAGCCATCGTAGCCCTACTGTACAAACACTTCAGCACTTCGATATACCGACAGTCAACTTGGCACCGCTGAACGGACTGTAGCACCGCCCAAATTTCGACGGAATCAAAGGCTTTCTCATAGTCCACATACGCCAGGCAAAGTGGCAGATTGTACTCTTCAGTCTTCTGTACAATCTGCCGCAGGGTATGTATGTGGTCTATGGTACTGAAGCCTTTTCGGAAACCGGCTTGTTCGGGAGGCTGGAAGTCGTCAAGTCTGCGTGCGAGACGATTCGTAATGACTCTCGAAAACAGCACGTAGACGCGGCTCAGAAGGGAAATCGGTCTGTAGTTCTTTAAGAGAGCGTTGTCGCCTTTCTTAAAGAACAAGACCACCGCACTTCTGCTCCACGCCTCTGGAGTAGTGCCACCATGGAGGACGGAATTGAAGAGCTTCTGAAGGACTTCAAGTACCGGTGTTCCACCCGCTTTCAGAAGCTCCGCTGTAATTCCATCCTCGCCTGGGGCCCTGCCGTTTTTAAGGTGCTGGAGAGCCATTCTAATCTCGCTTAGACTGACGTCCGGGATATCATCGGAATAGTGTCGGATAAGACTTGCTCTTGGATCGTTACTCACACTTGCGTGTGGCTCCAACGATGATGTGTACAGCTGCCCATAGAACCTCTCAATCTCACTCAAAATCTCAGGTGTCCCGGAAACGATGTTGCCACACTCAGTCTTCAGCCTTGACAGTTGGCTCTTTCTGGCAGACAGATCTCTGGCAAAGACTTTAGAGCCCTGGTTCCGCTCGATCGCTTCTTTAATACGAGAAGTATTAAAGTTGCGTAAGTCTCGCCGTATGCATTTGGAGATCTGTCTGTTCAGTTGCCTGTATGCTGTCAAATCTGTTGACGATTGCAGCCTCATCTCCCGTCTAACAGCCATGAGATTAAGAGTGTGATCGGAGAGTTTTTGTGTTCTTCTGCGGCGGGTCTTGCAGAACTTAGCTCCGACCGCATGGACAGTTTCCACGAGCTTGTCGTTCATATCGTCCACTGCATTGCAATCTTCTAGGCACTGGAAGCGGTTACGTAACTCGAGCTGAAAGGTTTCGGGATTCTGGATTAGAGCACGAGGGGGACGGAGCGTTGACTTCATTAGACGAGACCTCTCCAACTTAACGTTTAGGTTCAGTGTGCCTCTAACCATTCGGTGATCGCTGCCAGTTTTCACCCTTGCGATCACTGAGACATCACTGAACAGTTGGCGTCTGGTCGTCATAATGAAGTCAATCTCATTTTTTGTCGAACCGTCGGGGCTCGACCAGGTCCACTTCCTGTGGGGCCGCTTCTGGAAGAAAGAGTTCATCATAAAGAGTCCCTCTTTCTCCATAAAGTCGGCCAGCTGCTGGCCCCTTCGGTTCCGTTGCCCTACTCCAAATTTCCCTACCTTCAGCTCACCGCTTTCTCTTGTGCCCAGTTTTGCGTTGAAGTCTCCCATCAACACCGTGTAGTAGGTTTTGGAGGAATGTATGGCTCTGGAAATATCCTCATACATTTCCTCCACCTCCTCATCGGGATGTGCCGAGGTTGGTGCGTAAACCTGAATGACCTTCAGCGAATACCGTTTGGTGATTCTGAGTATCAGGTACGCGACCCTCGTCGACACACTCCCAATCTTTACAACGTTGTTGACGAGAGATTTGTGGACGATAAATCCGACACCTCCTTGGGACAGATGGTCGCCCTCCCGGTGATAGAACAAGTTGCCGGACTCGAGGATTGCCGTGTCCTCCCCCTCTCTTCGGACCTCGGATAATCCAATAATATGCCAGCGCAACTTGTCTACCTCTTCTTCCAGCTCCAGTATCTTCTCGTCAGTCCTCAGGGTGCGTGCGTTATATGTTGCCAGGTCGAGTCGTTGTAGGTGGCAACCGAACCTCCACCGGAGATTCTTAGCACCCCCTGCCCCGCCGTTACCATGGTCGCCACCGTAGCCAGGAATAGCGGGGCCGCCGGGGACTGGGGGCCGTCTGTTTGTGTATTTATTCATTGGGGGGTATTTGCCATAGTTGCCACGCTTGGCGAGCGGGTTGGCAACCGCAGTTTTTTATTACGTCACAGTTGTCATCAGGAAGACGCTGCTGCCCATCTCCTGCCTATCTCCCTCTGTCGCCTCTTACGACACCCACGGGAAGATATGGGGTAGTGGATATTCTTAACCGCCACTACACGGCAGCTATTTCTAATTTGTCTTGTGTTGTTGATTGTAAACATGATTGTAAGCTATTATTAAATAGTCCCGCTGGGTTTCTTGCTGGTTCTTCCCAGGACAGAGGTTTTTTTTTGCGAACCAGTGGTAAATTAAAAAAGTGACCTTCAATAAGTATTTTTATAATCTACATTGAATAAAAAAGTTTCTATTTCTATTTCTATTTCTGTAGTTCCGAATATTATACAGTTTTGTTTTTCTCGAGAGTGCCTAAAGCACGACCGTCTTGCGGAGGAAGACAAGTTATATAGGTCTTGTATAAACAAGGGCCGGTATTCAGAGACAATCTTGAGTTAAACACAAACTAAACATATATGACATTAGAGTTTGAGTTTAAACTCAATATTGTCTCTGAATGCCGGTCTAAAACTCCGTATCAAGCAGTTACTGCACACACATGGAATATTCGTGTCACGATAAAAATATACGTCAACTACTGGACAATTAGTCAAGAAGTTTTGCTGGGGTGACCCCACTGGGGTCTCCTGTCATAATATGTATGACATTAGCGAATAAAAGTCATTCGATCATTATTTCTCGTCAAGGAAGAAATGTGCCGCTTTCTTACAAAGCCGTGTAGTGGCGGTGTACGAATATCCACCACCCCATACTGTCCCGTGGGTGTCGTAAGAGGCGACGGAGGGAAACAAGTCAGATGGTCCGCAGCGTCATGCATGTGCATGGCAACTATGGCAAAAGCCTTATTATGAGACAATCTATGCGAGAGGCATGATATGTTCCGCAGTGGACTTTTGTAAGCTGTATTGAAAAGAAGAAATGAAGGAGTTGTGTTGTTGGGCACAGGACGCAGAGGGCGTGCGTCTGTTCCGCAAGTTCGTGGGCGGCGCGGGCGGCCCGCACGTGGACCGGCTCAACTTCTACTTCGCCGTGCAGGGCCTGCGCCAGGAGACCGAGCCCGCCAAGATACGCCAGGTCGTCTCCGCTATATACAAGTAAGCAACCTCTCTTACTGCACGGTACACTTTACACCGAATCTACTTACCATGAACGCCTAATATTGTAACCCTGAGGAAGACGATAACTTGGAGGGTCTCGAGACATTGTGATAGTATTGCGAGGGTGGTGCTACTGGGACGTGCTTGTCGGGCTAAGCGATGGAGTGGTTCCGGTTGCGTCCTGTACAGTGATTTCAGTAGACCGACAAAACCTTTCCGTTGCTCCCACAACAGAAAGTAACCATGAGGGTTTCTCCGACATAAAACAGGTACTAAATAGAATACTCTACACTGACATCGATCACATCTAAATCATGATTATCACGATCAGTTCGTCAGCAATCCACTTGGTAAAAGGTCTCTTTCGTACCAAGGATAGTAAGAATAAGATGGGACGGTCAACTTTAATGTAAACTATGTTTTTCAAAGCAGTGGACTTAATGACACACGCCTGCAGGCCACCTGATAGCAAGTGAATGATGTGGCCCATAGAAGTGGTTGTAACCTCTATTAAAAAAAGGCAAATTATGATGACGACTAAGATGTGACGCCTCGTTATCGGTAAAAAGATTCTTTAGTCACTGTACCAAACATCAAAATTAAGTTGTCTTTTACACTGGTATTTTAAGTGAGCGTGGAGCTTCCCCATTCAAATCGAAACTTACCTCAGTCTTATTACAGCTACAGAGAGGCACTACAATGGTTATCACTACCGAGGTAAAAAGCGTCACAAATATTCAACTTATACAATTCAGAACATTTGAGATGGGACTAATTTACTTAACTGGAAATTATTTTCGTGTTTTCCCCTAAAAGGTGTAAATATTTAAAAAAATTTGTTAATAAATAATAATTACTAGTGTTTCACGTTTCGCATCAAATAAAGAATTTATTCGTTCTTGTAAATTTACAGATCAGTAGGAGATAGAGAGTAAACTTAGTGTATAATGTTGCGCGGTGTGCCGACAGATTCCTGCGCAAGTCACAGCTAGCGATGCCCGACGAGCTGAAGCAGCGCGTGAAGCAGGGCCTCAAGGACGGCTCCAACATCGAGAAGACGATCTTCGATATCATGGAGCAGGAGGTGAGTGCACCGCGACATCAGATCATGATGCCGATGTCGTTATTATTCGAAAGTCATACGTGGATATGTATTTTTTTAATAGAATCAGAGTGACAAACAGCACAGCACACAGTTACCTAATGATATGTATATTGTGGCCCATAGATATTTACATCTATCCTCGATTAAGAATCTAAATGCAGATGCGTTGTCGCCTCTAAATGAAGAAAAAGGGTCTCCGGTTCTCTACGCTTACCATACGAAACACAACAGCATTAAGCTGCTATTTCATGATGGTATTGTAAGAGCGTGATTATTCCCCAATCGAGCCGACCAATTTGTGCTACAATCATAACATATGTAACAGCAGAATGGCTCTACCGCGTATAAAGAACTTGAATTGAAAAAACATTCAAGTTGAAAGGGGGCGATTCCTTCATATCTTTTTTTTCTTTATTATCACCTTGTAAAAGTCAACAGCTGGGCATGACAAAAGACTTCGCAGTACCAGAATCCTCACACCTTTAACGCTCCTTCTGGTTACTTGTTTTCCTTCCAAATGGCTCCGAGACACTGTGCTTCTCGCGCTGCTAATTGCTCTACTCCTCGCTCTACTACGATGTTGCCCTCTCTGCCCTTACACTGCTCTACTCGCGCAATTAATCGCGACGCTCCGCACTAGTTTGTTTGCGTTAGCAACACAATGGATGTTGCAACTTTGGCTATATGCATGTTTAATATAGATAATTATATCGATGTCATAAAATATACGTCGTCGTCCTCGCCAACAGATATGGTGGATAACATCTATTGATCGCAATAGAACGACGCTTCTGTAGCGAGCGCTCGATTCGGACTGCGTTCGCGCGATTATGTGGACGTCACTCATATTGTCAGTCCTTTGACTCGCGCTCAAAAACCGACGAAACAGAGAAGAGCGATGGACATGACGATGAGCATAACGTGCGGCACGACGAGTATTGTTGCCACACTAACTCTCTCTGCCTCCTTTCCTCGCTACTTCTACTAGCTCGCTGCTAATCTTTACTCATGCCACTCGAAGAGTGTGTGACAGGGGTTAAGACTATGTGTAATAATAGACGTGCTTAATACGTTGCACACTAAGTTACGGTCAATTCTCCGTTACTCATTTAGTGGACTGCGAGCGGGCATGAAGACATGTTCTTTGTTTTGTAAACCTCGAATATTTTCTACAGTACACCTATTTTATTTAATGTTACTAAGTTACCATTTTTTATGTAGGCACTTTATGAGCGTAATTTTAATGTGAACTTTATTTTCGTGCCTAAAAACAGTAACTGTCGTAAATGAAAATACAACTTCGTGGCATGTTTATCGTGTCACCTACTCGCTCAGCTGGCACCCGCGTTATTCACAGCTGTGATACAGTTTTGGTTCTGAATTGCCGGTCTAGTATAGGGATACCTTACGTCAGGATTTGACATGACGCGTCAGGACTTTTGGGATCTTATCATGAATGCGGTCAGATTTTAGAAATGTCAGACTTACGATTTTTCAATAAAATACGATAGGTTTTGTGTGTGGGATTAATGGAATGTACGACGCAGAGGGTCGCGAGAGTTTAAAACTGATTTGTTTTTTCCCCCACGTCTGTTAATACGGTACGTTTGCAAGAAAATGTCACGACTTTTCTATGAAAATCAGGTCATGTCTCAGGACAATTTTTCATTTGCTAACCCTAGCATAGTAATATAGGTGGAAGTGTTTGTTTGTAACGTACGTGTTTGTGTGGCAGGTGACGCTGGCGATCACGGAGACGACGTACCAGGCGTTCCTGCGCTCGGAGGCGTACGTGTCGTACGTGGGCGCGGCCACGCAGCCGCTCTCCTCGCCCGACACCGAGCCGCACCACCGCGACGTCGCCGTGAGCACCGCCCCTTAAACTTACTGCACTTGCTCTCCATTCTAAACAGAACACTCCATAACTTGCAAACCTTGTATTGGGCTGACCAGAATTTTTGTGACAAGAGTATTAAAAGACCACTTAAAACTAACAGTTTACCTGATGGTATGTGGTTACTGTAGCCCATGTCCCATAGCCTGTGTACTGGTTCTCTTTATCCTCCAGAACGGAATACAGCAGAAAACGGTAGGAAGTGGAAGTGGGTACCTACCCAAACAGACTCGTAGGCAGAATATCTATATATCTATCTATATATACTGAATATCATTTTTCATCTTTAAAGATCAAAGGTGATTAAAAAAATGAGCTATTTTTTTCCTGGACGTGCAAGTTTCCTACGTGGACCTTCCGAAAATTTGTCGAAAATGACTTATGTTTTTTTTTTTAAATATTTTTAATCAAGTTTTTGCGTCACTTGAAATGTAAGCAACGCTCCGTCTTTCTTTATTGGTCAGAGTTCAAGTGATGTACCTACAATAATTCGAGTCATAAAGAATTGTTATTGGGTGCAGTCGGTGGGGTGTGGGCTTGCGACGCTGCACGAGGAGCAGGAGCTGAGCGCGGGGGGTGCGGGGGGCGCGGGCGGTGCAGCGTGTGTGGGGGGGCGTTGGGGGCGCGCCCGCACGCCTCACGCACGACGCGCTGCTGGCCACGCAGTCGCGCCGGCTGCACTCCGATGTCGCGCCGTGAGTACACATGCACACACGCGCACTGCACGCACACAAGCTCAAGCGACACGCAATGTGAGTGCTAACCTACACCTGCGCGGAATACATCAGACCTGTTCTATTAGTTTACTTAGAGCGGCAAAACTGATCCCGATGTCCGCTGGATTCGATGATTGGTGCAACCACCATAACTTCGAAGTACAGTCTATAGTTGATAATAAACTAATAAATAAAAAAATCAACTCAGCCCACAACCTAGCGCTAATATACTATACGCGCATACACTAGAGCGTACCGCCCAATACTAGTCGGAGCTCTGTTCAGCCTCTCTCTTTAGGATCAAATACAGTTGTGCTCACTGACTCGAGTGCTGGCAGCGTTAATACAATACGCTATTTTTCCCAATACTTGATAGTGCAAAGCCCAATCCTCAATTCCGCCTCAAAATTACATTGTTCGACCTTTATATATTATGTATACTCAAATGCGTATGCATACGTACGTATAAACAAACACGTGAACATTGCTCACCTAACGCACTAATGCACACGTGCTGTATGTTTCATTTAAAAACAATCATCAATCACTATTAATATTCCCTCATTCTTTTTCACAAGACTTAAATTCCTATTATTATGAATATAAATTCAAAATCTAAATATGTAATATATATATATATATATATATATATATATATATATATATATATATATATATATATATATTAAATTAGTGTCAGTTAAAATCAAATTAATATATATTCAGTTGTTTACATCCCTAATATAATAATGTATTAGGGATGTAAACAACTGAAATTTCATTCTTTGCCAAAATAAAATAATCTGAGCCGTTTCTCAAGGCAGATATGCAGAGTGGCCAAAAATTTTAGGAATAAAAATCAAAACACACAAAATTCTCACTATATTGTTTAGATATTCAATTGAATGATTCTAAAGTTGACGAACTAGTTTTATACATCGCTTTTTTAATGTTGTAGTGCAGAATATAGTGTTTTATTATTTTTGAGATTTAGTTATTGTTAACATTAATAAAATTAATGCAAGATTGTAAATAAAGACGAAGTTGAATTATAGTAGAAATTGTTCACAATTGTTAAAATTGGTAAAGTGATGTAAAATTAAAAATTAAAACTAATTTAAAATAAAACCCTTGTTTTATACCTCTTTGCTCGTCTTTGTTTAAATTTATATTTAAATAGCTAGTTGACTTTTCATTGCTACCCCAGTATTTTAATTCACACACGCTGTAGACATATTTTAATGTGTGACCCTGCAATGCATGAGCGACATCCCAGCGTGTAATTCATTTGATTTATTTTCTTTTGTTTTAATTTGTTTGACCCCTAGCAGCTTTACTGATGTATCCATGTATTGTTTTACCCCCATGTTTGTGTCCCCGTGCCTGCATGTTCGCTGCCCCGACGCAACTTGTATCCACGCTACACTGTTTTTACCACCTAAATTTACCCTATGAAATCCTTCCCGACTATTATTCCCCTTTATATTTACAATATTTATAAATATTTATAATCTTTTTTACAATTGTCCACATATGTAACGTATACACTATTATATACACATTTTATATCATTAATTTTTAACATGATACTTGCTATGGATATAACAACAAATTAAATTATCTATTTTGTTTTATTATCTTTGATAACTTCGTAAATGCACACTTTCTAACATATCACTGAAAATGCAATATCATCATTTTCAACACTCATATACGCACCGATATTTCCGATATCCGATAACGTTCCGTGTGACGTATCCATCGCTCCCGTGACCCGTCCCGGTGGTAAGAGCAGGCACCGCAAGCGGTCGGTGTACAGCGCGCACGTGTCGTACGCCGGCTACTGCCCCGCGTCGCGCCAGGACTCGGAGCGCGCCAGCCTCAGCAGCGGCCGCACCGACAGCGACGCAGTCTCGCTGTCCGGCAGCAGTGTGTGAGTGTTGCTCCTCTACTGCCTCCAATCCACTGGCTCATATACACTGGATTGCGACTACTGACTTGTTTGACCTTGGGTTTGGTATCTCTTAGGATCGGTAAGCGGCTGTATACCACGAAATATCGTCTACTAGCTCTGATTTCATATCACTATCTAATGACGCTGAGGGTATCCACTTTTACTGCCACCAGGGCGGGTGCCATTTTGGATTGAGGTGAAATATTAGCCAAATTTTTTGGAGGATTAGTAAATTCGTTAGGTAAACACACGATATAAGATATGATATACATAGAATGATTAAGGTATCGCTCCAAAAAAAAAAACGTTTTTAAAATAGAGTGTAAAATATGCAAAAATTTAAAAAGCAAGACTACTGGCATTGATTTGCGTATTTTATTTGAAACTTTCAATTATAATGACATAAAGTCACCTCAGTACCGACTAGCAGCGACATCTGGTGAACGGCAGATTATTAACGCTCATTGTGTAACTGTAGCTGGTGTGCACCGACTCTTGTTAAAGACGATGATACGAGGGTGGATTGAAAAGTACTCGGCCTAACCAAGAAAATAAACACGTACTAAATCAGTTATATTTTTATTTTTCTACATAATCACCATCAAGTTCAATACACTTTTGCCACCTCCCCTTCCAAGCATTTAGACCGTTGAAAAAAAATGATTCTTCCTTAGAGTCAAAATATGCGTCTACAGCTGCTTTGACCTCGTCGTTTGTCGAAAATCTGACCTCCCAAGTGCTTTTTTAGGTTAGGGAACAGAAAGAAGTCTGATAGTGCCAGATCAGGTGAATACGGCGGATGCGGTAACAGTTCAAAGCCACAGTTGTGAATTTCAGCCATTGACTGTACTGACGTGTGAACACGGGCGTTATCTTGATGAAACAGGACTTTTCTTCTGAGCATTCCTCGACGTTTTTCTTTTATTTCCTCTCGTAAACGACGTAGTAAGGTGCAGTAGTAATCAGAGTTTATAGTCTGACCCCTTTCAAGATAATCAATCATAATCACACCTTTCGAGTCCCAGAATACTGAAGCCATCACCTTATTTGCCGACAAAATCGACTTAGCCTTTTTAGGGGGTGGTGAACCAGGTCTTCTCCACTGTTTTGATTGTTGTTTTGTTTCCGGTGTAGAGTAATGAACCCATGTTTCGTCCATAGTAACAAAACGATTCAAAAAATCATCTGCATCGGCTTCAAATAACTCCAAACAGTCGCGTGAAATAGTCAATCGCGTCCTTTTTTTGTTCAACTGAAAGCAGTCGCGGAACCCACCTCGCAGACACCTTGTGGAAACCCAACTCGTTGACAATGATGTTTTGAGTTCGTTCATAAGAGATGCCTATAATCTCGGCTATCTCTCCAATTTTTAATCTGCGGTCTCCCATTATTAAATCAAGTACTTTTTTAATATTTTCGTCAGTAGTTGACGTCGAAGGCCTTCCAGAGCGGGGTTCATCTTTCACACTCTCTCTACCACGCTTAAATTCTGTTATCCATTTTTTGACGGATGAATATGACAGAGCACAATCGCCTAATGTACTGACCATGTCATCATGGATGGCTTTTGATGATAGCCCCTTCTTATGGAGGTACTTAATGACGGCACGCCGCTCGATTTGCTCCATTCGCGGAAATTATGTCCGATTACTTTGTTAATAAATTTATAAAATCACAACTAATTATCGCACACGTTTCGAACTTCACACAATGAACTAGTCTGAACTGAACTAAATAATGTGGGTAGATTTGATTTTTAGAATTGAATGGATCTGTGTTAGGCCGAGTACTTTTCAATCCACCCTCGTATGACGATATAAAATACGTGAGTATAACGCCATAGTACTACATTGGCGACTATTTTGTACATTCACTAAATTAAAGATATGGAAACTCTATTTTTCAAAACGCAAAGTGGTGGCAACAAAAGTTGTAAATATAAACTTTATAAATAAGTGTTATTGGTACAAAATGTTCAACTGTCTAAAAGACTTATCGTCGATCTGAGGTAAATGTAAGGTTCTCCTTAGTAAGCTATACCTAGATAGCATTTAGAAGTAAGCTTCAATAGTACTTTTTTTTAGTATCCCACTAAGTTGCACTAGAACCCTCAAGCTGTATTCATCGCTTTAGCTCAATGACTAATATCACAATGCAGTTCATTTTCATATATTTTGCTAGTTTTTTTTTACTATAAATTAATTGGATAGAACTATTTATACGGATTTTATACGTTTAATTGACTTATTTTTACGTCGAGGATCGTTATGGCTGCTTCACAGCACCCGTGGTCGCGTGGGGGGGAGGGGGGGGGAGCGGTACTATGATTTTTGATGTCCCGATATCATAGGTAGTCCGGTTGTAGGAGTAGAAGTGTACAAGCTAAATTGTGAATGTGGTGTTCCTTACTTAGGACAAATAAAAGTATCTATAAAAACAAATATACAGAAGAACATATAGCTGATGTCAACACTGTAAACATCTTTAATATCGTCCCCACTATTACATCAGATTTGATAGACCAAAAATGCTCGCAAAAGAATGCCTATTCCAACCAAGGATGATACTCGAGGCTATTAAAATTAAAAACATCCATTTCAATTTTCTAATAAAATTCAAGAAAATGGATGGGTATGCCATTTACTTGGGATCCTATAATTAACGAAATTAAAACCCAAACCCAAGTATATCACTGCAAGACTTCAAGATACTGTAGCGAACCAAAAATTGATATTATTCAAAAGCTCAAGGTAACCGGAATTGCCATTGGGACGTCAAACATCTCCCCCCCCCCCCCGAAACGTTGCGAATCTAAATATCAATTAATTAAACGCGATAAAATCGGTATAAATAGTTTTATTCAATATGTAGCGTTCGCGTAAAAATAATAAATTGATTACTTATATTTCATATTTTTCGCCTTTTAGCCCGTTTAAGTGTATCCAGGAATATATCAATAGATGTACTTCAAGAAAAGTGCATAGATAATACAAATATTTACCTAGATAGAGAAAAGTATTGACTAAATTACACATATACTTTAAAATTTGTAGAATGCATTTAAAAATTTAATTAAATTTAAAGCCACTGCTAAATATAGTTCTTTTTTAATCTACCTTAAATGAAACATTTTCTTAAAGTGTAAACGACAATTTCTTTTTTCATATTTTTCATTAATTAAATTAAAAGTAAAAAATATTTGTTTAATTACTCTGTCAGTATCATAATATTCGGCAGTCATTTCGCTTGCCAAGATCTAGATGATTAAATAACGGTAGCGAATGACGAAATATCTTTTTCTAGTGACGGCATGTCGTTGCGAGTTCGAGAACCTCGCGAGTCACGCCATAGACCACGGTTCCACGGACTCGACCGCCACGCCGTCATCAACAAGGAGCAGGACACTGCTATGGTAAGATACGATGAGTTAAAAATACGTACATTTGCGATTTCGACTTCTTTATATTTCTCTTTATGTAAATCCTCCTTATTCCCTCACACACCGTAATTGGAGTGGTTGTGTTTATATTTTTGTATGTGACATAATAGACAGCCTTTTAAATTACATTATATTCTCAGTTGTAAAAGCCTTATAAAACTTGATTTTGTAAAATAGCCTTATATCTCTTGATTTGAGGCTGTTGATTATGACGAAGATGCTTTATGTGGTCTACAGGTGATCCCGCGTACCCAACGAGTACAGTCGGAACAGTTGCGAGTACTGCCGCCGCAGGAGTTCGCCGCACTGCTCACCGAGAAGTTAGAACGTGTGCGCCGCGACATTGACGCCAAGGAGCGCCTCGAACGGAGACTCGCTGAGGTAACCCACACCGCCATTACCAAACATGCATTGTTGTGTTAAGTCACACCTTCGTTTGCCTCGCTGCGATGACGTATACCCACAAATTTGCCTCGCTGTTTTTTTTTGATGTTAAGTGACTACCGCCGCCCATGATCAACCGCAATACCAGGGGAATTGCAGGTGCGTTGCCGGCCCTTTCGAAAGGAGTAAGCTCTTTTCTTGAAGGTCCCCAGGTCGTACCGGTCCGGAAAAATCGCAGGTGGTAAACTATTCCACAGAGAGGTTGTACGCGGAAGAAAAATCCTTCTAAACGTACAGTGGTGGACCGCCAAGCATCCAGATGGTGTGGATGGTATCGGGACGTTTGCCGCGTAGTGCGTTCACGAAATTTGACGGCTGGGATTAATCCGAACAATTCTTCAGAGCACTCCCCATGGTATATGCGAAAGAAAATGCAAAGAGATGCAACATCTATTCGCAGCGCCAGTTAATTGAGCCGATCGGAAAGCACTCGGTCGTCGACGATTCGAGCCGCTCTGCGCTGGATGCGGTCAAGTGAAGGAGCTGGTACTGGGGAGCTCCAGCCCAGAGAATGGAACAGTATTTCATGTGCGGCCGAACCTGCGCCTTGTAAAGTTGCAGGCGGTGTGCCGGCATGAAATACTGTCCCGCTCTGCTGAGCACGCCAAGCTTTTTAGAGGCCAATTTGGCCTTCTCCTCCAAGTGACCACGAAACTGCACGTCACTCGACATGTCGACGCCGAGAATTCCGATACTGGCTGAGGCAACAAGGGGAGTGCCTTGAAACTGAGGAGATACGACAAAGAAGTTCTTTTTAGCGGTTAACGCGCAAACTTGTTTCTTCTGAGGGTTAAACTGGAGTAGATTTAGTCGCCCCCAATCCGAGACTCTGTTCAGCAAAGACTCGACTTCAGACACAAGTTTGTCCCGGTACTCGGAAACGTTTCCCCGAGAAATATTGGCACGGCCGGTGTATAGAGCATCACCAGTGCTGTCATCTGCATAGCAATGAATGTTATGGGTTTGCAACATATCATTGATATGCAGAAGAAACAGCGTTGGCGATAACACGCAGCCTTGTGGAACACCAGCATTAATAGGCATAAGCTTTTAATCGGAGCTTGCACCGTCTACAACGACCTTGATGCTCGGATCTGCAAGAAAGCTGGTGATCAAATTGCACAATTTCCCGGGAAGCCCATAGGAAGGGGGCTTCAAAAGAAGCGCTTTGTGCCAAACCCGATCAAAGGCCTACGCACTGTCCAAACTAACGACCAATGCCTCCCCCTTGGACTCTACTGCCTTCGCCCATCTATGAGTTAGGTAGACCAGAAGATCACCAGCTGATCGACCAAGGCGAAAACCGTATTGGCCATCACTCACAGTTTACAATGGACTCCAATGTTTTGGAGAACAAGGAGGTGATGAGATGAGAAGGCCGGTAGTTGGAAGGGTCTGAGCGGTCGCCTTTTTTAGGGATCGGGTGGACGAAAGCCGTCTTCCATGATTTTGGGACTTCGCCTAGGGAGTAGGAGTACCGGAAAAGACGCGTTAAAACCGGTGCCAACTCTGGAGCACACGTCTTCAGCACAATTGGAGGATTCCGTCAGGCCCACACGACTTGTGAATGTCCAAGGAGAGGAGTGCTTTGCGAACCGAGCGCTGTGTGAACTGCACTTCCGGCATGAAGGCACTCACACCGCGGGATGGTCGGCGGCGTATTCCCCCCGTCATCGAGAGTCGAGTTGGACGCAAAGAAAGAGCCTAGCAGATCGGCTTTCTCCTTTGCGGTATGGGCCAGTGAGTCGTCCTCCCTGTGCAGAGATGGAAGAGATGGCTGACAGAAATTCCCCTGGACAGCCTTGGCGAGAGACCAGAATGCACGGGTTTCAGAAGGAAGGCGAACTAGTTTCTCGGCAATTCTGCCTATGTGCTCTGACTTTGCAATTGGCAATGACTTTTTTGAAGGACCTGGAGGCGGAATTATACTTCTTTTTTAGAGCGCTGGTGTTTACATGTAACGTACACTGACACCTTCAAAATGAGATGTTCCAAAATGTATGGAGCCTGGGCCAGGTCCTTGTTCACTATACTCAAAAATAGGAAAACACATTTTATACGGTTCTCAACTGTCCAATTATTTTATAACGGCTTTGTTTGCTGGTTAAAGCACAGGAAATTACACTTGAAATTGCAACACACAACAAAAACCCGTCATGGCGGTAAGCTGTCATTTTTATTAATTAGTGACGTTTGACATGTCTATTTCACGTATTTTTGACACTGTTGTAACAACTGACAGTTCTTTTTCTATGTTCAATGGTCGTTTTATGGTTTACTGTCATTTTCTATAAGCACAGATTAACAAAATCGGTGAGACGCTATGTTGAAAGTCGATAAAAATAATTGATAAACATCAATTGTTTACCACGACCTCGAATGTATCCTACATTTTAATGAATTATCTGTATTTTTCCCGAGTTCTACAGATTTTTCTCTTTTTTTTTTTTTGAGGTAGTGTACGCAGACCTGGCCCATTTTGAAACATACGCTTTGCCTCGCTGCGGTGACGCACACTGATAACCACACATTTGCCTCACTAAGGTGATGCAGGTCGCCAAACACACACTTTTCAAGCTAAATCTAATACTTTTGTTTCTGATGGACCCGCATTCGTACCCTTAAGTGAAATTTGTTTCTAAATGGCCATTAGCTGCAGTTTTTATTACCATCAGCTGGACGGTTAGCCCATTTTTAACTTAAAGTACAGAATAATATTTCTCCTAATAGAATATATATATATATAAGTTCAGTTATTTAGATCAGATCATTTAATCAATATGAATTAAATCGAATTCAATTGAATTTTATTTATTGCTAGAATGTGTAGTACATAATATTATGATGTTATAAGTTATTAATTAGACCTTATATTCTACCATGATATTGTAAATCGACGACTCCGTGGCGCAGTGGCTTAGCAATGAGTGGCTGCGCTGGGTGGTCGCGGGTTCGAATCCCGCACGGAACAAGTATTTGTATGGTCTACAGTTGTTCCGGGTCTGGATGTTTGTCCTTGTGCAATTTATGTTTGTAAACTGCCCCCACGATACAGAAAAAAAATCCTAGTATTGGGGTAACGTTTTATTAAAAAAAAAAGAAAAAAAATGGTGTGCCATATTTTTATAATTAACTAAAAGATTATGCATATTACAATTTAATGAAGTAAATTATTAAAAAAGTATTATATAATCAAAAATTACCTATGTAACTATTTGAAAATATTTTAGTGTTAAGTTTTTAAATTTGATAAATGTTTCAAATATAAATAGACATAAACACTCGCGCGTGTCACCCAGAGGGGTAGGCAGAGACTTCCATTTGGCACGATCCTGACACGCCTCTCTCCTCCTCCACATTCATATGCCTACGCATACATGCTCGTCGGTTACGAGCCCATTTTCAATATATTGCCAGTTTGATCGATAAACTTTCGCTTAGGACGTCCCTTTCCGACTCTACCATTCACTTCTGCAATATAAATTTGCTTTGTCACTCTTTCCTCATTCATTTTTTCTATATGACCTCACCACCGACCGAAGCATTCCTTTCTTAATCCTGGTCACAACATCATCTTGCAAATCACACTCTTCTTTTATCACACATTTTCTTACTATGTCACTCAGATTGAACCCCAACATACTCCTTAACGACCGCATTTCTACTGCGTTTATTTTACTCTCGTGCTTCTTCTGCCACACCCAACTTTCACTACCATACGTTAAAGTAGGAACTAACACAGCATTGATAACTGCCAAACGTGCCTTTTTTGATACATTCTGACTTTCCACAATAGAGTGTAGAGCATTTACTCTTGTTTCCTGCGTGCACTCGTCGTTCTATATTCTTATCATATCTCCCATCCCTTTTAAATACGCATCCCAGATATACAAACTCATTTACTTGCTCGATCAACTCCTTTCTATTCTTATTTCACATATCGTTTTACTTTCTTCTCTGTAAAAATCATAACTTTTGTCTTACTTGCGTTCACTTTCACTTTCTAATATCCAGAAAAACATTACACAAATATTAAATTTCAAAAAAATATAATTAATCAGTAATTTCATATTTCACCATTACTGTGAAAAGTATAAGAAACATTTTGTTACCAGCCATTTTGTGCGTTTTCTTTTAAAAATAACGAAAGGAGGATTTAATAACGACAAATTGAAAAACTACACCGATGCCGCGACAAACGTACACCCACCTAAAGTTTACTAATAATTTATGACGAAATGAAATAAGAAACTTAGATTCTACTTGTTCATGTTATTTTATTTCTATACATCGCGACTCTTAGTGCGTTATGCCCTTTTTCATGTATACGTATTTTTCCATCAGGGTGATGGTGAAGACGCGTCCACTCAGGCTTTGCCACCGCAGCTAGTAGCGGCTGCTATCCGGGAAAAACTCCAACTGGATGACGACAATGACCAAGATATCCTTGGTGAGTAATATTCGCTCCTTATTTATATTTGTTTATTGATGAACAAATTTTGTTCCTTATCCGGCTCGAAGGACTGATGTGTATGGTTTAACTCTAAATTGAGTAATATATCGTGTACTTTTGCACCCTATTGGTGCTAATGTGGCTTCGTTTATTTTGGGTCACAAATCATACAAGGAAAAAAAGAGATATTTCGCTGGGCAAGGTGTACAGTCCGCGGAGTGGCCAAAGTTCCGTGTGGTAGTGCAGCGTTTCATGTTTTTTTTTATTGGAAAAGATTGACTAGCGAGCACATAGTCCACCTGATGGTAAGTGGTTGCTGTGGCCCATAGACATCTACATCTATCCTCGTTTGGACCTTAGTCCTCAAGGCTGACAACGCCTCTTCATTTTTTTTTTCATTCCATTTTCTCAACGAAAAAATGGAATGCGTCTTTTCCAGTTAAAGGGCCTCCAAGGAAACACAGCAACATTAAGCTGCTATTTGACGCTGGTATTCTGTAGAGCGTGGTCCTTCCCCGGTCGAGCCGACCCATTCGTGCTACAACTATACAATTAATATAGCTGCCGCATGGCTCTACCACGTAAACGTATCATGTATAGTGAAGTAGCTTCAATAGCGTGATTTCGGCTTCGATTCGTTTTGTTTGTGGCGCAATGATACGAAACGTGACGTGAAATGTTCTATTCCCGTGCAGACCAGCATGTGTCGCGCGTGTGGTCGGAGCGCACGCCGGGAGCGTCGCCGCCAGGTGGGCGGCGTGCCCGCGGCCGCCACGCGCCACACGCGGCGCACGTCGGCCACGCCGCACACGCGGGCCACGCCGGCCGGCGCGCCGCGTCCGCGCTGTCGGCCGACTCGGGCCACTACGACGCGCCCGAGGGCCTACACCATCCGCACTCGCTCACGCGCAGGTACGTCTCAATACACATTCCTTACAAATTAGCACTTATCTCCATTTATGAACTGCAGTGCAATTGCCGTTTGGTTTCGTCGATGTATCGGTATAGATTAATAGCCGACGCGATTTTATATTATCTTATTTAACGTTATATAATAATTAATAACGCACTTACGGGGTAATTCCCATCGGCAAATATAACTTACTAAAGTGAATCCTATAAGAGTAAACACAATTGCACTGTGGATTCACGCATTATTACTTGTCTAATTATTAACTCACACATCTCAATGACTATCTTATAAAATAGCCATGATTATGTTTGATGCGTAGGTTATACCTAATATTTTCTAAGGTTTAAATTGTATTTGTTATTATTTTTATCGAAAACATTACTCAAACATTTCTCTGCAAATATTTCTATAAAGGCCTCTTTTAATTCTTAAAATTTAGAATCGTATCAAAGTAACATACATACTATTAATCTTTCATATTATTCTGTTAAAAGCATTAAAAGTTATAACACACGTATTGCCTTTAATTCTTTTCTATGGTATCTTTTATTTTAAATAATTAGTTCTTCCAGAACGACCTTAAAAGTAATTTGTTTTACAAGCTGTAAATAGTAAATACTCCTTATTAAAAAAAATTGTTACAATTTCTCTCTAGTCTTATTATTTGCGTGATTCCTCCCTCATTCACGATCATTTCATAAAATTTGTAAAATACAAAAGTCTGCCCTTCTTTTTATCAAGTGCTAAAAAAAGAAACCTGCGACAATTTTTGTATTAACTTTTTTATTATTTTGAGTGTGACGTTAACGCTTATATTAATAAATCTAATCTAACATACAGTATTTATAATACACCTACTTCATATATTGTACTAATGTTGAAGTTGAATTCGTTGTCATTTAGGCCTCTATGGCATGAAAATATAACCAAATAGGAAGTTTGCATACGCACTCCATATATGAGCTTTGATACCCACCTTAATCTCTATGTGATTGCGTTACGTTCTCTTTTACAGCGCACTCAATTATTAGAACGTCGTATGCGCCGCCTTTAACCGCAACGATGTACTAACGCTGCTCTAAGCCGTTTCTTCAACGTACATATAGGTGATTTCAACGTAAAATGTCGTAAACGCCGTGGTTTTTTTGCAATTCAAATATAAAGTTGTTCGAGCTTTGAGACGTTGAGGAGTTATCTTAGAGCGATGCGTTTATTTATTTATTTACTTTGACCGCTTCGCGCATGTTAATTGTTGTCCTTGTTGTTGTGTGTATTTTTATGTGTGTCTGTTTTAATATTTATCTGAGGACTTATCAACGTGGAGCAATCAAATTGTTATTTCTTAAAGAAAGATCATTAATAACTATTATTAATATGAAACAATTTTTGTTACAGAATTTGTATATTTGTGATATCCGCAATGTTTGACTGTTTCGGGCATAAGTTATAAAATAGTATTGAATACAATCGGATTTTGTGAATCTATACCTATAGTATTTATATTCTCAACAGATGTTTGTCATGGTTATTCCATCGAATTCTGGAAAAAAGATAGGAGTTCCTCAGGAATCTGCTTTAGATCCGTATCTGTTCTTGGTCCATTCCCTATAAAATAACCAAAATTAAAACACTACACTACTTAAGGTGTAGGTGTTGTACATGTAACTTGTTCATGTAGTCTGCGACAAATTAAATTTTTGTAAGTACAAAAACGAAATTGCTTTGCAGTGATATAGTACACATATACTAATTAAGATATCACTGAAATGTTGAATTAATTTGTACAAAAATCGACGGATAAGTGTAACCAATTACTAGGATACGAATCAGTAGTATTGAATTGAAGTTTTGAGTTCTATTTATCTAATGTAAATCCATTTGTGTATTGAACGAATAACTTTTAACGTTTTTCTGGTGTCAATTTGAGAATCTGTAAAAGTTTAAAATACATTAAGCTGGAGAGCACAGAGTATAAGTTAAAGTGATATTTCACTCATTCAGAAAGAACAGACCAAAGATAATTTTTTTTGTATTGATGGAATAATGTACGGGGATATGCCGTGATTGAGTGCCAATAGTTTGCAGATTAGTATATTAGCGAGGTTAGAGATTTCATTATAAATAACTGTGCTTCGCTATTTGTGGATACTGTCATGTAGTTTCACATTTTTTTCTTCAAAAGTAAAACTGCCAGTGTTTTCTATCACTTTTATTTAAATTATGCTTTTTTTAGTATTGGCTTGCTGGTGGTTGGCTGATTTTTAATTTTCATAAATTTATATCTACTCTTTGTTATAAATACATGTATATACAATCCGTGCGGTTAAAGAATGGGATTGAAAATGGCGTCACCTTTATTCAGCTCTCGCTCGCTCACTCCCACTATCTACTCACACCCGACGGTAAAGACTGCAAAAAAACTACGTTGCGATATGCGTTTTTTGTACGTTCTATAACTTCTGTCCAACTTGTTATTGAAATCAATGATAACAAAACGCCATAAATCACAAAAAATAATTCAGTCCGGTTTTTCTAATTTTGAGAGATTTCTTTATAATTATCGTTGATTTTGTTTAAGTTTGTTGAATTTTTTAAATATTTTGCGTGATATTGAGACATGTGTCAACATTTTTAAATTTTCGTTTGCCTGTCTCTTTGAGATAATCTTCGGGAATAGCTGAATAAATTTAATAAAAGTTTACGAACAAATATAGAGTAATACCAAGAGTGATCTAGACTAAATTTGATGCGAAAAATTTAGAAATTTTTATTAAAATAGAAATATTTATGAAATGAAATTAATGGTATTTAATGATTATCTTAAGTCTAAATAACGACACATTAATAGTTCCCACCCGGGCGAAGTCAGAGCGGGTCGCTAGTTATTAATGTTATTTTAAAATTAATGTACCTACTTGTGTATACAATTCTTTTCATATGTTTTCCTATTAATAGAAAATTTCCAATTAACTGAATAATATAACGTTATTGGTGGGTTTTTGCTATTGCTACTGTGCATGTTGACGGTACGGACACAATGAGTCGCCATTTCTAATCCCATTCTTTATCTGTACACACTGTTTATATATTTCACATAACTAAATGAATTAATCTTTTAACACAGTTAATCAGACAATAGATGAATAATCTAAGTAACATGATTGAGGCATTATATCTTTATCCTCAATTATTTTTTTAATATTGCCATAGATACATTTTTCCCCATACAAAACACTTTAATAAAAATCTTTTGATTACATTCATGGCTGTATGAGTTAGAATCCCTTTGCATTCTCTGCACTGAAAATTTTTTTTCAAAAAAAGTTGTGCAACCAAAAATATTTAGTTGTTTCCTTTTAAAATTTAAAAGTTATTTCAAGAATTTACTCAATGTCGCTTTATTTGCCATCATTAAAATCTAAATGACATTCAATCTCCCAAGTAAGTAAAATGCAAAAAAAAAAAGAACTATTAGGTAGATTTAATGAGGAGAATATTACACTGTATTCAGTTGTTGTTTCCCTTAACAATCAATCGAATAGTAGAATATTATAAATGACGACGGACAATGTCCAACAGATCGTTCTCTAAGAAGACGGCGACGGAGCTGACGGACAGCGGCGTGTCGGTGGTGAGCGAGGGCACGGCGAGCGCAGCCAGCGGCGTGGAGCCGCGCATCCTGCTGTGGATCGCCGAGGGCTCGGAGCGGCTGGAGCGCCTGGAGCGGGCAGAGCGCGGCGAGCGCAGCGAGCGGCGCCACCGTGACCTGTCCTCGCGCGCCTCCAGCGCCGAGCGCGATGAGCCGCGCCGCCGCGACCGCGCCATGCAGCGCCCACGGTACCCGCCTCATTCACCTTATGCACTGTTGTGCGCGACTGTCCGCAACTTAAAGGGCATGTTCCAAAATAGAACCCAGTGTACTGTCCAATGCAAACGACGTCATGAATCGTCGCTATACTGGTGATTCGTTCCAAAACATAGGACAATATATAACGTCATACATTTACGCCATATTGGAAAAGTGTTGGCGATTATTTTGTCATTTTGTGTTCCAAAAATCATTATATCTTCCTAATGGAGATACCAGCAATTATTCTATAATTTTTTGTATTTGAATAAATAAAAACAAATTCTGGCATGCTTCATTCAGCGCACACACAATTAAAAATTGTTTTATTATGGCCGTATATCCGACACAATATGGTGGCGGCACGCCAGTACAATAAAGTGTCAATTGATGACGTCATTTGTATTTGCCAGTGTACTGGGTTGTATTTCGGAACATACCCACTACTTGCCTCTGCGTCCGCATGCAGCACCGACTGTGGTACCTGTCTCACTGTCACCTGAAGCACTATTTTGCATGACTGTACTTTTCGGTCTTGTAATATAATTGTTGTTATATATTTGTTGTTGAAATATAACTGAAGTGACCAAACTAACGTCCATCCTGATGGTAAGTAATAGTCCATGGACACCTCAAAGATATTTAAAAAAAGAGGACACAGTTGCGTTACGATCTCAAGGAACTAAAATAGGATATTGTTGCCACCTGTAATTATTTTGACTCTCCCTTCTTGGCTATACAATTAAAATCTTAGCACAGCAGTGCGTGTAGATGAACTTAATGGCAGAAATAGTTGAGAGAGTTATAACTGCTCAGATAGGCTCTTAGACTAATGTCCTGCAGAATTAATTGCGGTCGCGGCAGTCAGTATCAACGTAACCATCTATGCAGGACAGGAATGCATGTGTGTGTGCAAGTACTTATAAGTGCACTCTCTATACCCTCACTCTCGTAATCAAATGGGACAGCAACGCGATTGCAAGAATGGACTGTCTTGCATACACCATTGCTCACTTTGAACGCTATTATTTTATTAATCAAGGGACGTCGCATATTGACCGTTGTAAGCGACTGCCTTGCATACACCATGGCTCATTTCAAGGCTGTTGCATACAACTACAAGGTCTTGTTGCTCAAAGGACTGAATACGGACCGTTGTAAATGACTATTTCGTATGCATATTAAAGGCTAACTTACACTATGATTTCTTATATTTACGCGAACATTGCACATGATTAAAACTACTTTTACGGATTTTATCGCGTTTATTTTTTCTTACTTTTTATTTTTAATTCCCGACGTTTCGGGCGCTTTCCAGCACCCATGGTCACGGGGGACTGAGATGACTGACGTCCCGATGTCATTGTTAAACCCGGAGTACCTTCAGCTTTTTTAATTATTGTTTATGGTCCGATCTATGCAAAATGAACTGACTATGTCCTGAGGTCTTGCAGTGGTATGCTTGGGTTTAGTTTTAATTTTATTGATTATAGGATCCCAAGCAGGTGGTCGTACCCAGCCTCCTTCTCTATTGAAATTAGGATGTTTTTTAATTTCAATAGCCTCACGTATCATCCTTGGTAGGAATCGGTGTTCTTTCGCGAGGATTTGTGGTCTATCAAATCTGATGTAATGGTTGGGTCCGTCTAGGATATGATCACAAACTGCAGACTTCCCGGAACGTTGATGCTTCACATCAGCTATATGTTCTTTTACGCGGGTCCTAATTGATCTTTTGGTTTGTCCTATATAAGAGAGACCACATTCACAATCAAGCTTGTACACTCCTGCATCTTGTAGAGGAATATGACACTTGACGGATGGTAGGAACTGACTAATCTTCTTCGGCGGCTTGTAGAATGTTCTAATAGAAGCTCGCTTCAAGATATAGCCAATCTTGTCTGTGACACCTCTGACATATGGTAGTACAGCAGGCACACGTTCGACTGTGGCCGGCTTCACTCGGTCACTGTGACGTAGGCGCGAGACCCGAAGCTTGTTGTCGTGCAGAACTTGCTTGACGTGCTGAAGCTCGGCGGCCAGGTGTTTGCAGTCACAGATCCCTCGTGCTCTCTGTAACAAAGATTTGCCCACGGTAGCTAACTGTGAAGGATGGTAGTGAGAGTCACCGTTTAAATATCGGTTTGTATGGGTCTTTTTCCTATACACAGTGTGACCAATGGTGTTATTAGGATTTCGGATGACTAACACATCTAGGAAAGGTAAGGAATTATTTGCCTCTAACTCCATAGTAAATTGAATTTTAGCGTTTATGGAATTAAGATGTTCTAAAAATGCAGTTACTTTGTCTGATGGTAAAATTGTGAAAGTATCGTCTACGTACCGCTTGTAGATCCTTGGTGTAACAGGTGCAGTAAGGAGGGCTTTCTCCTCAAAGTCTTCCATGAATATATCGGCGACAATGGGAGATACAGGTGAGCCCATCGCCACACCATCTACTTGCTTGTAAAACTCTTCCTTCCACAATAGATAGCCAGATGTAAGGCAATGTCTTAGTAATACTGCATATTCTGCTGGCATGTTATTTTCCTCTAGTTTCCTAGTTATAATTGAGATGCAGTCTTCAACAGGTAGGCATGTAAATAGAGACTGAACATCAAAACTGACCATGGTTTCATTGTCAGTAAGATGTAGGTCTTTTATCTCACTGACAAAATGGTATGAATCCTTAGTGTGTGCTCTTGTGTGTCCTCTGAGTGGTGATAATATTTTAGCTAAGTATTGAGCCAATCTGTAAGTTGGCGAATCAATCTGACTCACTATTGGACGTAATGGAGCATTCGGTTTGTGTATCTTTGGTAACCCATACAACTTCGGTGGTTTGGCACAGGAAGGTAGTATCGAATTAACGTCCAGATTCAATTTTTCGGAGTATTTCTTAATTAGATCGCTAGTTGTTTTAAGCGTATTAGTTGTAGGGTCTGTTTTGACCTTTCGATAAGTAGTTTCATCCGACAAAAGTTGTTGTATTTTAAAATTGTAATCTGACGTATCCATTATAACCGTAGAATTACCTTTATCTGCGCGGAGAATCGTAAGCTCTGGTCTGTTGCGTAAGTTTTTCAACGCGTTAAATTCATTTTTGGGGAGATTTAATTTCGGCGCTGAACTTCGACGTAACATAGACGAGATGTCTTGACGTATGGCCTCTAAATCTTCATTACCAATATTATTTTTATACAGACAGTCCTCAACACTACAGATAATGTCCTCATACGGTATTTTTCGCGGTGTTAGTAACATACGTTACTACGATAATACCTTCGTTAATTCGATACTACCTTCCTGTGCCAAACCACCGAAGTTGTATGGGTTACCAAAGATACACAAACCGAATGCTCCATTACGTCCAATAGTGAGTCAGATTGATTCGCCAACTTACAGATTGGCTCAATACTTAGCTAAAATATTATCACCACTCAGAGGACACACAAGAGCACACACTAAGGATTCATACCATTTTGTCAGTGAGATAAAAGACCTACATCTTACTGACAATGAAACCATGGTCAGTTTTGATGTTCAGTCTCTATTTACATGCCTACCTGTTGAAGACTGCATCTCAATTATAACTAGGAAACTAGAGGAAAATAACATGCCAGCAGAATATGCAGTATTACTAAGACATTGCCTTACATCTGGCTATCTATTGTGGAAGGAAGAGTTTTACAAGCAAGTAGATGGTGTGGCGATGGGCTCACCTGTATCTCCCATTGTCGCCGATATATTCATGGAAGACTTTGAGGAGAAAGCCCTCCTTACTGCACCTGTTACACCAAGGATCTACAAGCGGTACGTAGACGATACTTTCACAATTTTACCATCAGACAAAGTAACTGCATTTTTAGAACATCTTAATTCCATAAACGCTAAAATTCAATTTACTATGGAGTTAGAGGCAAATAATTCCTTACCTTTCCTAGATGTGTTAGTCATCCGAAATCCTAATAACACCATTGGTCACACTGTGTATAGGAAAAAGACCCATACAAACCGATATTTAAACGGTGACTCTCACTACCATCCTTCACAGTTAGCTACCGTGGGCAAATCTTTGTTACAGAGAGCACGAGGGATCTGTGACTGCAAACACCTGGCCGCCGAGCTTCAGCACGTCAAGCAAGTTCTGCACGACAACAAGCTTCGGGTCCCGCGCCTACGTCACAGTGACCGAGTGAAGCCGGCCACAGTCGAGCGTGTGCCTGCTGTACTACCATATGTCAGAGGTGTCACAGACAAGATTGGCTATATCTTGAAGCGAGCTTCTATTAGAACATTCTACAAGCCGCCGAAGAAGATTAGTCAGTTCCTACCATCCGTCAAGTGTCATATTCCTCTACAAGATGCAGGAGTGTACAAGCTTGATTGTGAATGTGGTCTCTCTTATATAGGACAAACCAAAAGATCAATTAGGACCCGCGTAAAAGAACATATAGCTGATGTGAAGCATCAACGTTCCGGGAAGTCTGCAGTTTGTGATCATATCCTAGACGGCCCCAACCATTACATCAGATTTGATAGACCACAAATCCTCGCGAAAGAACACCGATTCCTACCAAGGATGATACGTGAGGCTATTGAAATTAAAAAAACATCCTAATTTCAATAGAGAAGGAGGCTGGGTACTACCACCTGCTTGGGATCCTATAATCAATAAAATTAAAACTAAACCCAAGCATACCACTGCAAGACCTCAGGACATAGTCAGTTCATTTTGCATAGATCGGACCATAAACAATAATTAAAAAAGCTGAAGGTACTCCGGGTTTAACAATGACATCGGGACGTCAGTCATCTCAGTCCCCCGTGACCATGGGTGCTGGAAAGCGCCCGAAACGTCGGGAATTAAAAATAAAAATAAAAAGTAAGAAAAAATAAACGCGTTAAAATCCGTAAAAGTAGTTTTAATCACTAACTTACACTGTCTTAGCCATAACCCTCGCACTGCTGGTCTCACGAGTCGCGAGAACAAAACAACGTAACTACAACGACGGCATGATTGTCGCTTCGTGGTCATCACTCATCATACACAGTTGCTCGAAACTATGTATGGACCCCATAGGAGTGAAAACCTGACCTTTAAACCCTCAGGAATAAAAAGAAGGCCCGTGCCCGAATGTAGAACGTATACAGGGTTATTTCATTTATCAAAGAGTAGCTAAATTTTTAACTTCAAATATACAATTAGCATATACCATTATTGCAGGTTTTGAGTCTTCTATTTTATTTGAAATTATTTCAAATTGAATGCGATTTATGGGCAACTGGATGTTTGCCTACCGATCGACCAGCAGTAAAAACAGTTAAAATAATGCATTACCACGAATTTTGAATTTAAAAGATACAAAGGACAGAAAGTTTGATATTTCTTATTAATTTTTATTCACCATTTGCCTGTATTATTTATTCTGAATCTTCTCTACACAATTTGGTCGGTTATGGCAAAATAAGACTTTTTTAACGTTAGGATTTTATTTCAGTGGAGGAGGCGGCAAGACCGCGGGTGTTGTGGGGGGCGCGGGTGAGCACACGGTGGTGGTGGTGAGCTTCCTGGACGAGAGCGTGCCCTACCGCTTCAAGGTGCCCTCTGTGCCGCTCACGCTCAAGACCTTCAAGGAATATTTGCCCAGAAAAGGAAATTACAGGTACGCTAAATAAGTTACTGCGACTTTTTACCCCACTGTCCCAGAAGGACGTATAATATATTATCCGTCTAGTGGCGTCGAAAAAATAGTCTCCCGCCAATCGATATAAATGACAAGATATGGTCGTGCAAACAAAAATTTTTCGCGGTTTAAGTATAGAACAAATCAGCACCATCTCTTAAATACTCATGAACTGCCTCGTAACCAGCGTTTCCATTTATGATTTTGGTTTTACCCTAAGAACCTGTAGAAATACTCCCTAAATTATTGTAAAGAAAAATCAAAATAGCCTTAGCACTTAATTCTCAATTATTTATAGAACATCATTATAGCAAGTTTTGAATATCATTTCACGATTAAAAATCTTGAGTTTTGTGATGAAGAACGCTGTTCTCATTTTCACATTATAATAACACTTAGTCTCATACATATAATGAATATGACTCATAATTAAGTTAAATATTATACCATTATTATGATATACAGAATGATAAAATCTTTTTATTCTACACTTTTCTATCTCTTTAGACTCTATCCCCTTTGATAAATCTTTAAAAAATACGTACGATTATACCCATCATATATATATATATATATATATATATATATATATATATATATATATAACAGGATTACCTGAAGTTGGATTTTACCTCAAATTATCCAAAACCCTGTCGACTTGAAGAAACACCTAAAGCCCTATCTATATTAGTAGATTTACCCTAAAATAGTGCAAAATATTTAGAAGTGGAAACACTACATGGAAGCACGGCACGGCAAAAATATACGTAATACCTAATTTTTGTAAACTTACCGAAAAAAAGATATTCCATCTTTTTTTAGTCACCTTTTTATCGGATTTAGTACACTTTTTTGGTAATGCAATGCGACGTCAGCTCGCGTTTGAAATCAAGACAACACTGAGCTTGCCTTTGGTGTTCCATAAACATTTTCGCACCAAGGAGTCGGTGCCATTTTGTTTGTTCAATGACCGGGTCTATACGCAGTAGTATAATAAGTCTATGCTGCCGCCCTTTTTCGTTCCGTAGTTTTCTATGGGAAAGGTTGGAAGAAATCGCGACCTCCCATATATGGCGGTACGCTAACTCGTATGTGAGAAATGTAAATTACATAGACTTATAAACGATATGCCGCCAGTTGTTGATAGCCAGTCTCGTTCTAAACCTTGTGCAGGTGACATTGGCATTTGGAGAAATTGTCCATTTCACCTATTGGAAATTAAAAAAAAAATATTTTTTCATTGTTTGTGAAACAGACCTTAGGATTATTTCAAGTTATACTTGCTAGGTAAAGTAAAGTTACAGCCTATATACGTCTCACTGCTTGGCACGGACCTCCCGATCATTTCTGAGAGGGTTTTAGGGCTAGGAATTGTCCGCCGCGCTGCCCCAATGCGTGTTGGCGAACTTCACATGTCTTCTAAATATTTTTTTTCTTATTTCTCTGACATGCAGGTTTCCTCTTTTCCTTCACCACCGAGCACGTGGTAAATCAGCACTTAAAATTGCAATTAATAATTTCATTGTTGCCGGCGGGGATCGAACCCGGTTTGCTCGCGTACTGTGAAATTTACAGCGAGCGCTAACCATCTGAGCTACCACGGCTCATACGGCACTTGCCAGATGGTGCATTTGATATGGTGCCACCAGCAGTAAATTTATATAAGCTGTTAAAGAAATATAAAGAAATATTTTCATTCCTTGCTATGGCTTTGAGTATTATCTCACAACAGCACATCCCACCGACGCCTATGTTCTGGCATACTGTTGATTTATAAAAAGTATGATATTAAAATAACTTCATTATCCTCGTGAATTTGTGAAACCTATGTGAAGTCCTTCAGAAGAAATTTTTAAATGCTGTGTCACAATTTATATAGAACGTCATATTTTATTCCAGATATTTCTTTAAAACGGAGTGTGCTGATTTGGACAACACCGTCATACAGGAGGAAGTGAGTAATGATAACGACACGCTGCCCATGTACGAAGGCAAAGTGATGGCTCGCCTCAAAAACATAGAGTGAAAGTCTGTGGATATGAATATAGTTTTATTAGCAAGGAATATTAACGACAATTAGGTGATGTTCGCGGTCAAGAACGATGTTACACTCAAACCAGTTTTGTTCATCCTTACAGCGTCCTCGTAGGTGAAAACTGTGTATAACTTTAGGGCGATCCTGTACAGCGTTAGTGTATGTTATGCTTAGACAATTTGAATAAAGATTGTCCTATGTGTCATTCTTTATGCAAGGAAAAATCACTTCTATGAAAGAAGAAATTCAGTGAATAATGTGCGGTATTCGCATACATTAATAGCCCTGTCTGTTAAGTAGTAACGTAAGACTGTTTGAATTTGATGTTATAAAAATGTTTAAGATTGCTAAAAATATATTACTAATGTTACTAATTCCAGTGATTTTCGGTCTTCGTTCATAAAGGGTTGTTCATATATTTATTTTTTCAGTGTTGTGAGTCTTGCCAATTTCTGCCTGTTCATAAAAAAATATTTATTTGAAGAACATTTTGTTGTTCCTTACGATATGTTCATTAAAGTATTGGCATTATTTGCAGAATGTAATTGGTGACAAGTTGAATACTCATTCAACAAAATATACTCTGTGTATTAAAATGTATGTCTACATTACTGAGTCTATTTTGAAGCCACTTGACTTGCTCAGTTCACAGGATACCAGTTTATGTTTCAATTTAAAATATTTTTTCTATTGCAGTGACTTTAAATTTTTATAATATATTCATGCAGACAGGGCAACACTAGACATTTTGTATATTATTTATTATAAAATTAACTACGATATCATTAATCGTAATTGATAGAAATGACGTGTAATGTAATATAAAATCGGTTCCTCGGCGTCTGTTTTACGACTTTTTTTTATTATTATTTTTATATTCGGAGATAGTTCAGTACGCTTAATGTACGCGATTTTTAAAACCGTACGCGATTTTATTTTAAATATTCCTAGTGTTATATGAATGACTGCTTAGTTTGTATAATTTTTTTTTAAATCTATATCTTAGGTGTTAACAAAGTGTTTTCGTTCGAATTAAACTATTGTCTTCGTTGGGTAAAAAATATATTTTAATGAAATTATTAATCTGGTGTGGAAGATGCTGCTAATCTACATTCGTAACTTATATTTACAAAAAAAAAGCTATAATTAATATATATTTTATGTACTGACTAAAATATCGATAATCTGATAATAAAATTTTAAAAACGAAAATATTTGGTGAAGTGAGTTTGGAATAGTATCAAATCTTTATTTACCTTTTATTTTTAATAACATTTCTCCTCTGTCGTTTCTGACTCATTCCACTGTGATGTTTCCTGCCTCCAACAGTTTGTCGACGGCTTAGAAGATTCATTTATTATCACGTTTTTGAACATTATCCATGATAAGGCAAAAAATGTCGAAAAATTATTGAATCTGTCTGCCATGTCTATACTTTTATATAATTTCTAGCCATTTCCTTATCTTTGTTCTCAAGTCTAATGAAACAAATGTATTTTACGCATCAATATCTTCTACGCCCGATCAATTGATCCGAAATTGTATAAACAAGCAAAATGCATGATGGGATCTCAATCAAATATTATTATCAATAAAATGAAATATGTATCTATATTTAAGTGGACAGTAAATAATATAATTTCCGTTCTGCAGCTGTGAATACTTAGTGTTATAGAGTAAGATTATATTTACCTTTAGAATTCAGTCTGAAAGTGCACCGACAATTTTTACTATGTTGTGCGTTAAAGTGGAAGCTATTAAATAACGCTCATATAAAATAAATATACATCATACGCCTCGTCACACGACTTCAGCATACAGTATAGTAGGATTAGTGGGTGTGTGTACTAAGAAAAATCAAGTTTGGCCGTCAGACTGCATTTCCCCATACAAACTTCAAACTACAATTACTAGTCCGAATCCACACTGCGCTTGGTTTCAACGAAATTGTTCGTTCATTCTATCGTTTTCTCACCAAATAAGCGTTTCATTGAAGCCACGCTCAGTGCGATTTGTCCATAATAGTACTTATTTTGTGTAACATAAGAGTTAAATTAGCTTGTCGTGTCCGGTCCACAGTGAGTGTAAGTGTAGGATTTGTTGTCAGCGAGACGAGTGCACCAACGAATGCACAATATTGAGAATAGGGTGCGTAATCATGTGCCTTCAATGTTGATAAATTTTTCATAGTTGATGCTTCTAACTAGCTGTAAGTTAACTTCTGTAAATATAGACTTAACGCTATTATATTCGAGCTCTTAATATTCTAATTATTTAATTCTTTGTTTTATTTATTGCCTTGTTCTATGTGGGGCTCAGACACGCGTTAAAATAACAATTCGTATCTTCTTGTTTTATTCAACAGTGCGTTCATATTTTCTTTTTATTATTATTGTTAGCAAAATATTTTCAGTTATAACTCTGTTATCTTTTGATCGATGCATTATAGTTATCGTAATCTTGAACCTGACTGACTGTTCACTATCGCAAAACGCGCCGTTTGAGCCCTGTACATTTGTCCAGTTATACTTCAGTGCAAGTCGACGCCACCGTGCAGTCGCCTCGACATGTATAAATAGATGAACTATATCGTTTTTAAATAATACTATAAGGCACTTTCAGTACACAGTAGCGTCTCAAAGTACCTTATTTCGATAATAAGTCACGAGGTCGTTGAGGGCTCAAAGTAATTCGAAGTTAAAAATTGCTTGTTAAAATTGCAAAAAGAAAAAATAATAAAGTAATGATGTTTTACAATTTTAGTGCATACGTGGACAAAAGTAATACATTTGTAATAAATTATAACTAGTATTACCTTCAGCGATGACTCGAACGGACGTAGAGCAAAATCGCTCTATGTCATCGATTTAGGATCGCCTACGGATCGAAAGTCGTGAGATTGAAACAAATTTCTAAAATATATAATTTAAAAGTTAAATAACTTTATTACTCGTGTATATTTATTAATGCTATTAAGCACTTAAGAATCGTTTTATTTTTGAGGCGCATCGCGCAACTTTCGATACGTTGCGGTCTTCTAGTAAGAGTCATTAATTGGATTGTATTATTTTTTTATCTAGCACATGTAACATTAAAAAAATAAACTGGAACTGTGCCATATACAATTGTTTCTTATTAACCTTTACATCGTGTGAAATTATGGTGATATTTTTTCAATATTGCCTAATCAGTGTAAAATTCAGTGCCGAAAAATAATTACAGCATATTACGAGTTCGTCATACCTGCTTCGGCTGATAGCTTTGTTATTACTTAACATGAAAACTCTTTTCAATATATCATTTCACATTTAATATACATGATAAATACATTCGTATCGCCTTAACCTTTTGAGCGCCAAAGTCGCCTATGCTTGACCAGCACCTGCGGGCTCTGAGCGCCAACGACGTCTATAGTTGACAAAAAACCCGACCCACAAAAATATGAAATATAGATATTGGAAAATTATTACTAGTATTTTAATTCTACACTCCTCAAAAAAGAATAACCCAGCAACATGTGAGGTATAAAAAACAAGTCTCCTAGAGCCACTAGTACTAAGAAACATCGAATTAAAAAAAATAGATTTTTATCTAAGCAAATACTATGTCCAGCACGCCCAAAGTCGTCTATGTTTGACTGCTAGTGTTATAATGCGTTAGGCTTATAGATTTATTGAAAACTATTTAAAATTAAACGCAAACGTGTTGCCTCATTTTTAAATTATTATTGATATTTGAATAAAACAAAAGGTAAGAAACATAAAACTATTATCAGTTATATAAATAAAAGAAAATTTCATCAAGTCAACTTCGCATAATAAATCTAATATCTCAACTCTGGCGCATCCTTAGCGCGTCATCGATTATCAGTTCATTGGGCGCCGTGGTCAAGAATAGACGACACCCTGATGACGTCATAAACGAATAGCGGAAAAAGTAGTTCAGTGCAACATGAACGATTCCTCAGAATTCATTCGAATTTTGGAAAGCGTCGATGATTATGAATTTTATTTTAATAATATAAAATTACAAATAATAAATGTTTATTTTTTTCTTAAGGTATGAAGAGCAATTTTACATTTTGTGTTGTGCGATTTTCTTTCTCAATCTAAAAATCATCTGGTAGCATCAGCATCATATCAAACCCCCATTGTCATAAGAGCGTAAGACTTTTCTTCTGTGCTTCACTTGGCCTACGCCTCCACCGACACAAAATATTTTGAGTCGATCTCTGTATATTTTGGTTAGATCGATTTCGAAATCGATGCACAACGTGCGACACGGCTACATCTCTAAGAAAGTTGCAAAAAGGAAGGTCACCTACGCCGTTGTCGTCCAGTCGTGACAGTGACGTCATCACGATGAAGAGTAGTGCTGTGGTGTACTACTATTTTATTGTTTGTTTTTTATTTATGTACAAAGTACATATATAAAAACAGTGGAAGACAGCACAAGATTAAATAAAACATACCAGATTATAAAGAGTAATTTATTGCATAAAAAAACCAACAAAATCAAGTTATTTTGTGTTATCGATGTATCAACTCTTGGCAACACTATTTTTTTCGTAGGTATTTTTGTTTACCTTTCGCTTTGGCGTACAGGACACGTTAATGCGTTTTTGGCGTGGCGCTCAAAAGGTTAATGATGATGCGATGAGCTTTTCATCTTAAATTTTACAACAAAACGCGTGCACGGTGCAAAGGTCTATTTGTTTATAACGTGCTTCGCTATGTTTTAGGAACACACTGGTCGGACGCGTGTGATTGCATTGTATATGATAAGTTTGTTTATATTGTATAGTTTTTCATACAAAATAAAGCATCCCGATGTCATGATGCATTGCATAATGTGGGACCAGTTTGTCTACCTTTAATCCTACATGGACACTGTGTTTTGTGTACATCTTCAGACAGTACTTATCTAAATGGATGGAATGCATAACAAAATGTAACGTTCATCAGTCGACACACATTCACAAAAAATTATTC